GTTTTAGAACTCAATAGAGATTGGTTTAAGTAAAGGAAGGAATTTATTGGCTTATGTGACTGGCTTGTTTGGCATATAGTTACTTAGTCTTCCCCCTGTCACTAAGATTATGCCCTATCAGTGTAGCAATTTCAGCAGAAAGAGAACACATCTTTCCAAGAATTAGAATAGAAATGTTAGGATTGACTTTCATTGGCCTGGATTAATGAACCTGGGTCAGATAAATGCTCCTGGGGATTGATATATAGCCAGCTGCCCCACAACTACATGGACAAATAATAGAGGACCTAAATTTTAAGATATTCCAGCCTATATTGTACTAGTAACTTCTAAATCCCAGGGACTTTATACAATGAAAAGCTTATTTCTAACTCATGCAGTCTACACCAAGCCCAGGTGACCATCGATGTGGTAACTCAGGAATCAAAACTTTCCATTCTTCATCTCGAGACCTTCACAGTTGCTTCACCAGAGAATGAGGGAACCACAGAGTTCTAAACCACAGCCTTGAATCCTTCAGCCTGGTGGCTCTCCAGAGCTCTCAGCCATTAAATAGAATTGACCATGTGGTCCTGCTTAACTGCAGTGAAGCTGGGAAATGTGTGAAATAACATGTTATGTTTTGTTTTGTTTTATGAAATATGTCTACCACAAGCTGTTACAAAAGAAAGAAGAGAATCGATGTAGATAAGTAAAACAAATGTCCACTGCAGCCTGGATGTTTTTTTAAATGTTTAAAGTGTTGATATACAAACATGCTGTCGAAGTTTGAAACTTCATTCTTTGAAATATTATTTGCCAAAGATTGACTTGTTTTCATTTAAAGGAATTTGTGGATTTGTGCTTTGGAACCATTGACTTTAAAAGTAATTTCTAGAAACCAACCCATTTATGGGTTGAAGACTGTAAGATGATGCTAAGTTAATTAGTTACCTGGTAATTGCTAGATTCTGTGGATATTCTTTGATGAATCAAGTGTCTTCTGAGAGCTGTTTATTCCTGTGCTGGGGATTGAACCCATGGCCTTGAATATACTAGGCATGTACTCTACCACTGAGTTACATCCCTAAGCCCCCTTAAAACTTCTTTTTTTTAAAAAAAGAAATCCTTTGTCTTCAATGAAGATTTCTCTTAGGGTTTCTGAGTTACTATTTCAATGCTTGTCAATCTTTCATTTTTTATTAAGTATCATACAATAAGTATTTTAGGTTTTCTGGGCTCTGTGTCATAATTACTGAACTCTGTTGTCTTTCAGCCCTGTTACTATAGTACAAAAGCAGCCATAGACAATACTTAACTACATGAACAAGAGTGGTTTGTTCCAGTAAAATTTTATTTACAAACATAGGTAGTGGGCCATAGTGTGTTCATTTCTCCCTGACTGCTCATACTTATTGATCTTCTCTCAATTCTTCTTCCTTCCCTGTTATATTTGTGTTCCTAGATAATATTTAGCCACCTTTTAATTTTGAATTTCTTGAATTGCATCATTCACATTCATTATATTAACTATCTTCAGATTTTGGAATCAGATTTCAGGTGGGTTTTGACTTTGCCTCTTACTAGCTGTGTGATCAAGGGTAAGTTAATGTGTCCTAAATCCTGTAAAGTAGGGCTAATAATACCTGTTTATGATTGTTATAAACATAATATACAAAGTGGTCAAGTGTGGTGGTGCATCCTTGTAATCCCAGTAAGTTGGGGGGCTGAGGCAAGAAAATAACAAGTTTGAGGCAATCTAAGTTACAGAACTTAGATACTCTATCTCAAAAAAAAACTAAAAAAAAGGGAAGGCCTTGGGATGTAGCTCAGTGGTAGAGTGCCACAGGGTTCCAAAAAAAAAAAAAAAGCAGGGGGGCATATAGTGTTTAGTATAAAGATTGACAAATAATAGATGGTAGCTCTTGTTTTTATTGTCTTCATAGATATTGTCTTTCACTCCTGGATCTTGAACCCAGAAATTTATTTAGACTTCCAGTTTTTACTCCATTTCTGTTTTGGTCATTTTTACTTAACAGTTCTTTAGTGTCAGTAAGAAGTATTCAACTGCAGGTATTAGGCTTCTCACATAACAAGAAGTTTGGAAGTAGAGGGTTTTATAGAGCTTTATGATGACAGGACATTTTCATGAATCCCTTGATTGTCTCCCTCTTTATCTCTGTGAGATATTGCAGTAGCTTTAAGCGTCTCATCCTCATGCAGCTGTATCCAAAGGAATAAAAAGGTGAAAAGAAGAAACTTATCCTTGTGTATTGTTTTCTCTTTTTATTACAAAAGCTATTTTTAAAAAGTTGATTAGGAAATAGAATTTATAGGACTTGAACAACTTAAAGTGGGAGAAACTTGAGAAAGTATAGGATGATTATCTCATTTTTTACTTAAATGTCTATACTATAGGTGGATGGTAGTTCCATTAATATGAGAAAATAATAAGTTTTATAAAAGAAGATAAATTCTGTTTTAGACTTACTGAATTTGAGATCACTGTGGCAGATGGACAGTCTATCCAATAGCCATTCCTCCTTTTATAGCAGCTGTATTTCACATATCATAAAATTTACCCTTTAAGAATGTACAACCTGTTGTTTTTTAAAGTATATGATATAGTTATGTAATCACCATCACTATTTAATTTTAGAACATGTTACTCGTCCCCAGAAGAAGCCCCGTATCCATTAGCAATTGTTTCCTCCTTCTCCAGGCATTGGCAACCACTAATCTATTTCCCTGTGGATTTTCCTAATTAACTCTTTTTTTTTTTTAGAGAGAGAGAATTTTTTAATATTAATTTTTTAGTATTTGGCGGACACAACATCTTTGTTTGTATGTGGTGCTGAGGATCGAACCCGGGTCGCACGCATGCCAGGCGAGCACGCTACCGCTTGAGCCACATCCCCAGCCCCCCTAATTAACTCTTATAGTCATTATTTTCTTCTCATCTTCCCTTTTGAGTTCCCTTTTAAAAAGGACTGTCATGCACAATTACTAATTTTTCTTTTGGTTAGCCTAATGCCTGAAATAATGTATAGTAGCTTTGTGATGTCTGGGTGAGTTATGAAATTAATTCATCCACAATAGTGATTTTTTTTTTTTTTAGGGTGTTTTAGGTAACCATAATTAAGAACCACTGGTTAGGAATACTTAGTTAGAGGGCCTTTGCTTTGTTCTCATTTATCTTTCTAACCCCCCCTGCTTGTTGTTCTCTGGCTTATATTTGATGTTCCACCAATATTAAACCTACTGGTAGTTTTAAATAAATGTCATGCCCGCCTGCTGCACCACCCCCTTGTTTCCTTGCCTCTGCTCCTTAGATTTTCTCTGTTTAGAATTCCCCTAGGGTTTTCCAGTTCCCCAATTCTTGTTCATCTCTTTAGGCTTAGTCAAAGAATCAGAAATTTTAGTTTTCTTTCTGGGGAAACCCCTCTGCACATCCCTTTATTGTTCTCACCATGTAATGCTATATAAGTAAGTGTGTGTGTGTGTGTGTGTATGTGTGTGTATTTCATTTCTCTAGGCCAGTGATTGCTGAACTTTTTATTGCTTATGTGTGAAAAATGAATATGTACCTATACAGTTAATTATAAGTTATATGTGTACTAATGGAGGAATTTTTTAATATTAACAAAGCTTTTTGAAAAAAATACTCAAGTCTAATAACTTTAATCCTGTGTCTTACTTTACAACTAATGAAGTGGTGGGTTTCTTGATGGCAGGAGCTCAATATATGATGATTGGAACTCAGTGTCTTATCTGTTTTTTTTTACCTACCCCTGTTTGGGTGTAGGTCTTCCTTTTTTGTCATAGCACCCTTTCTATACCTTTATCATTGCCCTTATCATGCTATATATTGTTATTAGTATAAACCTATTTTCCTTCAAAAGAATATCTTACACATGGGTAAACTTTGATTTCTGGTGTACCACAATTGCATAGTACCAATTGTGGAATGAATAAACTGAATTGAATAAGTGGGATGCAGTGGTACAAATCTGAAAATAATTAAGACAGTGATAACTTTTAGTATTTATTTGAGAAATGTTAGGGCCATTTATTTTTAAAATGCTTATGGTTTAAAGCAGTGCATCTCAAGTTATTGGTGATAATGGACCAATTTCTTTTTAGTTCCCAATACATTTGTGTTCTTATGCTTATATAAAATACAATAAAAGTTAAATACTAGGAAAATGACACAAAAAGAGATATAAAATACAGCCCTCTAACTTTTTATTATTATTGTTATTAGATTCAACAGGCATAAAATTACTCTTTAAAGAATCTGTGTACCCTCAATCGCTCATGTACCACATTTTTAGAAACATGGTATAAAGTACTGTAATAAATACCTTATCTCATTTAATTCTCATAAGTCTATGGAATAGGTACTGTTGACAACATTTATAGGAAACTAGGGCATAGAGAAATAAATTGCCCAAGATCATATATACACTATGGAAAATAGCCAGGATTCAAATCCACGTAGTCCTGTCTGGCTCCAGCGTCTATGTGCTCGTCTGCCTCTGATTTCATAAAGATGAAATAAGGTAGCATTTTAGTTGAGAATGTTGTGAACAGATATAGATGCAAGAAGAGATAGTTACAAGTCACAGTGTAATGAATTATTTTGCCAGTTAAGGGGTCACAGAATGATTTTCATATAAAAGTTTAGTTGTGGAGTTAAGAGTAAACATCTGCTTCCATTTTACCTTAGTGATGAAATCCCTGATTTGCAAAACAAAAGAGTGATAGTGTTTCTTTTCTGTTATTTGATAACATAATCAAATTGTTATTTTTATACTCATATAAAACAGAAATGAGCTTCCTTTCTACAGTTATCAGTATTATAAGAACGAAATGTAAGTAAGATCCCATTATTATGTTTGATAGTAGATGATCATATTACTGGTTTCATTGGTTTGTATCATGAAATTGGGAGACTTCTAAAGTATTTTAATTTCAACAACTATATTGTTTTTAAATTTTTAAAAATCTTCCCCCTATAGAAATCTGGTTAAGAAGTATTGTCCCAAACGGTCATCCAAAGATGAAGAGCCAAGGTAAATCATATACCAGTTAATTAATGCACATTAAAAATAAAAAAAACAAAAACTTGTTTTTATTATTTATTAAAAATGCTGTTATTATTTTAAAAGTTTGTTAGGGGCTGGGGTTGTTGCTCAGTGGTATAGTGCTTTTCTAGCATGCATGAGACACTGGGTTCATTCCCTAGCACCATATTTAAAAAACAAAAACAACCAACTAAATAAACAGCATAAAGGTATTGTGAACATCTACAATTAAAAATATTTTTTAATAAGATTTTGTTTTAATAAGAAACTCAGTGTTCATGAAAGGGGAAACTACTATTTCTCCTATATGGATAAATACTTTAGTGGACTTGATCAACAGTTTTCCACAATAGTTTAAGAAGATTTCCAGGTAAACTGAATTAGGGCTCCACTTGAATGATATAGTCTCCAGAAGAGAGAGGGTTTTTTAAAAAAAATTTTTATTTTCCCCCTACTTTATTTTGTAGCTGTCAGCTTTTAGATCCTTCCTTTTACTCTTATAGGTAGTAATACAATTTGGCTTGTTGGTTTAAAGGTATAAGGAAAGGGATGAGATTTTAAGGGTAATTTTTGAACCCTGAAAATTTTTTTAGCTTTTTGGCAAAAATGTGGCAACAAAAAGATTAGAACTTAACAACTTTGTGTCAAGTTGTCACTTATTAGGATTCTCAGATTTGCTGTTAACAGAGCCCTATCTGAGCAGTCATCTTTCATTAATAAGAGAATATATTCCTTCAAAGTAGATGTATGCTTTTTAATAGTGGTTCTCTTTGTTTCTCTCCTTCCCTCCACACACATTCTTACCCTTATTTTTGACCCTTCTACCCCTCTTTGATGCCAACCAAATGGCTCTTCACTTCCATTCAGGATGTGGGCAGGCATACAGGCAGCTGTCTCCAGAGCTGCTAGCAAAGTTGTTCTGTAGATCAGCCATCGAGATGCATTTGAGTGGTATGATTGGCAGGTTCTGTCCTCGAGAGCAAGTGCATCATCTCTGCAACAGGTTCAGCTGCCAAGCCTAGGAATCCAACCAAGTTCATTCCCAAGCTCAGGCCAGTCAGTTGACAACCTAAAGAGATTCCAGTATGCCAAAAGAGCCTGCAGGTAGTATTCTTATTATTTTTTGATCCCAAATATCCCTTTATTTATAAATTAAAGGCTACTTGAAGATATACAAAAATGGTACAACTTGAGCTTAATGCAGGATTCATTCCATATGGAGTTAATTTTAGAACTAGTAGCTTCAGTTTAGGTTGAATATGTTAAAATTTGTCAAGTGTTAGGCTCAATCTATACCTTGCAAAAAAACATTTATAGTGCAAGTAAAAATTTATTCACCACTTTTAATGTTTTTGCCAGGTTTACCTCGTGCATAGCCTTTTTTAATATCCTTAATGAGTTAAATGACTATGCAGGACAGCGAGAGGTAGTAGCAGAAGAAATGGCGCACCGAGTTTATGGTGAATTAATGAGATATGCTCACGATCTGAAAACTGAAAGAAAGATGGTAATTATTTTTATCCAATTATAATGTTTTATGAAATATTTTCACAGAAATGTTTTGTTTTTCAAAAAACCTGTTTTCAGCATAAACTGATTTTCTGTTAAATTTCTTGTAGCTAAAAATTATTGCAAGTTATTCTTGCTCATTTATGATCCTTTTGGAATTAAGACTAAGATTTAGCAAATGATAGTCCATGGGAAAAAATTAGCCTACCATCTATTTTTGTTTTCTAGTTTCCACAAGCTAAGAATGGTTTTTGTATCTTCAGATGGTTGATAAAGAATTAGAATAAATATTTTGTAGCATCTGAAAACTTCATCACATTTAAATTTCAGCATTCATAAAGCTTCATTGGAATAGACTAATTCATAGTCAATTCATATTGTCTGTGGCCACTTTTGTATACATTGACAGAGTTAAGTATTTGTAGAGGATACCATGTGGCTTGGAAACCTAAAATATTGTCTGACTTTTTATAGAAAACCTTTGTCCACTCCTATTGAAGACAATCATTATTTTTCTAGATATTATGTATATTTTAAAGGTTGCATTTAAGTATTGAAATAATATCCTATAAAGTACATTTTAGAGAGTTTTTCTTTACTCTCTTAAGTCTTGATAAAGTTATGTAATTAGTACCTTGTGGGGGAAATAAAGTTAAAAAGCCTTTTGGGCACAATGGAATTTATTTGGTATTTAAAAGTAATTATTTTTGTTTGTTTTCTTTGTTTTTTGGTGTGTTTATAATCTTTAGCATCTCCAAGAAGGACGAAAAGCTCAGCAATACCTTGACATGTGTTGGAAACAGATGGATAATGTGAGTTTCAGTGTTTTAATTGTTAAAATTTTGTAGACTAGATTACCCCTGACGTCTGTTAGAAGATTTTACATCTATTTGAGTTTAATATTTCTCAATGCATTACTCATAATTTGATGTTTATTTTGTTGAACAGTAGCCAATAAAGTATAAATGAGGATGTGAGATCATTTTGTCTTTTTTTTCCTAGTGTGATTCTATGTTTTATATAAACTCTAATCTTCATATCATTGTAAATGTTTAGGGAGATTTGCCTGGACTTTGTATATTTACTATAAAATATTAATAAAGGTAGAAGAAGTAGAGAAGTAGTGCTAGATCTTAGAAGACCGGTTGACTGAGACTGAGAGAACCAAGACTCTGATTCCACCTTTTTTTTTTTAGCACATTTTCTTCCCGATTGCCTTCAGCAATCTCTTGACTTATTTTTAACATATGAAAAAATGAAGAGAGTAAACTAAATTATATGAGTGTTTCTTTCAGTTAAGTGATTCTGTAAATGCTCTTAATATTGGGCTACTGATAAGTAAACATCATATTATGGGGGAAAGATACTTTAAGGGAAAAATTATGAAAGCATAATAATTTAAAAATTTTTCCAAGGTACTCACTAATGTGGTTTTTCTTAAGGTTTCTGATTTACAGTAATTTGAAAAACAAGATGTCTACATGAAACATTATAGCTGCCTTACAGTACAGTATTAAATGATGTTTTATAGCATATTTTATTTGATCCTTCAAGTTATCAAGCTGTTTAATCTTTACCAGCATATTTTTATGATGAATGCTATATTCTTTGAGAATTATGCCAAAGGAAGTTCATCATGTTAAGTTAATCTATTTTGTCTGTGGTTGTTAACAAAAGGACTTTAAGATCAAGATTTTAAAAATTCATGTGTATATTTGTGGTATCTTCTGTTTTTCTTACCTTTTCTGGTTCTTGGTTTGTTTTTGTAGTGCTATAGGTTGAATCCAGGGCCTCATGCAGGCACTTTACTGTTGAGCTACAGTCATAGCCCCTTTCTTTTGCTTTTAAAAATGCACTTTCAAAGCTTACATTAATTTCTACCATGTAACTGTCACTGATTAAAAAAAAAAAATTCTATCAACAGTGCTGATTGAGAATTCTTAGATATATTAATAGTCTATTTTCATTTTTGTTTTGATTTTCTTCCTGATTGCCTTCAGCAAGACTTTTAGGGAGTGTTTTCATTGATTAAATTTTAAACTCCTTTCACTAGCATCCTTAGTGTAGTGCTACCTAATGAATGTGTGTGTATGTATAATAGACTCCTACACTCAATGGATGTTGATAATATTTGCTGACTTGCCTTTAAGACAAGGTTACTGAGGTCATAAATATGAAAGACGCATAAAAAGTATAGGAGAGATATCTTCAAGGCATTCTTTTAATTTGATTATAATTTTATTATTTTTAGGAATATACTATATTATTTTTTTTAGGAATATACTATATAAAAGTGATTTTAACCCTCCTTGTGTTTATCAGACATCCGTTACATGTACAAGGTTCTGGATGAGCAAAAGTGGTTATGGCATGGTTCTTATTTTTGTGGAACCTTCAGTCCAGTAAAGGAAACGGAGAAATTATAATTTGTTTAATACATAGCACCAGTATAGTATGTTCTGTTTTCTATTTCTGGATCTTTCTGTTTAGTTAAGAAAATGAAATTGTAGAATTTCGAACCTATTTGATATAATCAAGAGACAAAAAGAACTGGGGAAAATAGGTTGAATTACTGACAATATTGAAAATTGAGGGGAAAAATTAAAAAGCAATTGTTAATCCTGGAAGAAACAAAATAGGCAGCATTGGAATATAAGAGAGGACAGAAGAGAGTAGCCTGTGAGAGTATCTTGAAGGAATAAGGTTAGAGATTAAGAAAATAAAGTGTCAGAGATGCCAAGTCCATCATTTAGGCGGCTTCTAATAAGAGAGAATACACGTTTATGGAGCAGTTCCAGAGTTGGTCAGTAGTTCATATTGTCACCAAGGCTGCATGTCCTCCCTGTCTGTCCACTTTGTCATCTTAACCACATGGGCTCTTCAGCCTTGTTCCTTTATGGTCAACAGTTGATTTAAGCAACCAAACACCATATTCTCTTTGAATGTGCACCCAGAGACATGAGAAAGGGAACATTTTTTTTTTTTTTTCCCCCCAACTGCCCCTTTTTTGTCAGGGAAGTAAAACCTCTAGAAAAACCCCAGCACACTTCCTCTTGGGTGCCTTTGACAAGATTGATTTACATGTCCATGCCCTAGCAGTGGGGAGACTGGGATAGAAGGACAGCTATTTTTGACCTTTGTATTGGAATGTACTTTCTGTCAGGGTAAAGGAGTAGAAGTGACTGTTTTAAGTCTGTCACAAAATGTAATGAACAATCTTTTCTGGAGTACTGTCCTATATTATGATATACTACCTTTCAGGGAAGGTACTTTTAATACTATGGTTGTACTAGTAAATGTTTTGATGTTGTAAGAAATGTTATATATTTTTTCCACAGATAAGACACTTAATATATAAAAAAAAAACAAAAACCTTTTGTATATCAGTAACCTCAGTTTGGAACAAAATTAGTAGGCCATAGTTACTCAATATGGAAATCAGCTCTGAACTGAATTTCAGAGAATTAAATGTGGAAATTTAATCAGTTTTCATAGAGAAGTGACATTCTATTTATTGTGCACAACCAGATGTTTTTATGTGCTTTGGATAAATTGTAGGTATATCATTTGGGGGTCTCATACTAATCAAAACACTAACTAAGGCCTACATTTAAAGAATTTTGTAAAAATTTTTGGAACACATTAATTTGATGTAAATTATAGGTTATGTCATGTTTTAAACTATGTCAAACTAAGCCAAGTCAGAAACCTTTTAGCTACAAATGCCTAGATCTAATAGTCATTTTTAAAAATTGTGTTTTAAGAAAGGGGAATCTCTGCCAGGTGTGGTGGCACACCCCTGTAAAGGCTGAGACAGAAGGGCCACAAGTTTGGGGTCAGACTCAGCAACTTAGTGAGACTCTGTCTCAAAAAAATAATGAAGGTTGGGAATATAGCTCAGTGGTAAGCACTCCTGGGTTCAACACTAGTACTGCAAAATAAAGGCAGGGAGGGGATCTCTAACTACTAGGAACATGGGGAACATAGCAGAGCAATGAGTTGAAACAGTGGCATTTGGAAACAGAGATGTTGGGGTAGAGTGGTTGATTGGACTTGGTATTTGCTAAGGGATTGGGTTTTAATACTTACACAGGCAAAATTAGGTTTTAGCTCTGTATATTATAGAGAGTTCAAACTGAAACACTTATTAAATTTGAACTTCTAAAGGACTTGTGAAAGGATTAGTGAAAGATGGTCTAAAAAGATCTCTGCCCACTAGTTAAGAAAAAACTTATCTCTGAAAATCAAAGGAGGGGAAGTATCCTGTGAGAAATTTAAACCCTTTGATCTTGTAGTCATGAGGTTTGGGATTCAAGTTTGCACTGTTCATAATGTTTTGGGATCCATAGACTCCAAAACAAAACATTTAAGTGGTTCTACAAAGTAGATTAGGTCAATACAAAATGGTGAGATTCCTTGCTTTCTTTTGAGTACCTCAGAATACAATTAAGCAAGGCATTTATTTTTCAGGCAAGAAATTGGAAGAGGCCTTCTCTGGGGAATCAACCAGCTAGAGGGGAAAAACTAAAACAAAAACTTACTGATATTGATATCAGGTTTTTCCTAAGGAAATTACCTGGCTATTTTACCGTAGAGGGAAAGACCATCTGTGTAGAACTTTCAGTTGGCTTTTTAAAAAGAAGCATATAGCCAAAAATCCCCAGGCATTTAAAGGAAATAGCCAAAGTGTACATCAGAGACCCAAACTCTGTAGGAAAAAGAACTTAGAAGAAACAGTGACTATGAAAGGAAGTGAAAATTAAAATACTTAAAACAGATAAGGAAGTCAGCCACGGTTATATGTGCCTGTAATTACAGTAACTCAGGAGGTTGAGGCAAGAGGATCCCAAGTTCCAGGTCAGCCTGGGCAACTTAGTGAGATCCTGTCTCAAACAATAAAAAGGGCTGGGGATGTAGCTCAGTGGCTGAACACCCCTTAGTTCAATCTCTGCTAACCCCTGCACCCCCATTGCATTCATGAAATAAAGACAAAAGTACTATTAAAAAAGGAATCATTAAAATTAAAAAAAATAATTTTATGATAGCAGAGATGTGCAAAACCCCCTAGGAAGAACTACAGGTAAGACTGAAGAAATATCTCTCAGAAAATAAAGCAGAATGGTAGAGGTTTAAAATGTAGAAGAAAATATAATACATTTAGAGGATTTATCTAGAAAAAAACAGAAAATGGGCAAAAATAAGTCAAGAAAATGTTCTCCAAATTGATAGACATGATTTTCTAAAAAATATTCTATTGTTTGTTTGTGTTGGGGATTGAACCCAGGGCCTTGTGAATGCAAGGGAAGCACTCTACCAACTGAGCCTATATCCCCAATCTGAGATACATGATTTTTAGGATGGAAAGGATTTCCTAGCTGCCCAGCACAATGGGTCGATGTCAAAACCTATCTTCACAAAATATCAAAAAAAAAAAAAAAAAAAAACCCCCCCATAAAAAAAAAAAAAAAAAAAAAAAATTATTATTATTAATTAGGAACCAGAATGGGATTAGATAGTCACGCAGGAAACCAGAAAATAGTGGAGTAGTTCTTCTACATTTCTGAAAGAAAACAGTTTCTAAGAAAGAGCTTAGCCTTATTTTATCATTTAAAAGTAATGATAAAGGCATTTTTAGTCATGGAAACTCAAAAAATTATCTCTCATAAACATTTCCAGGAAACTTTTGCTGAATGTACTCTAGTAAATGAGGAAATGATTCTAGAAAGGAGAAAGGATGGAACTCTAGGTTAGGAGATCTGGATAAGAGAGAGGTGTATGAAATACCCAAGATATGGGGAGGGAAATCCCAAGGAAGCAACTATGTGTTAGGCCTAGCTGACAACCAGTTCAAGCAGTTTGGAAACCTTTGGGAGATAAAATAAGATAATAAAATGAATAGGAATCCTAATGTGTTAAAATTAATTGTTGAGACTTAATCAACTGGGAGAAGCATCAGGTTAAATTAAAGCTATATGCTTTGAAAACTAAGCAAATTGTATATATTTGTGTATTACATAGCTTAGTTGTGAATAGCTTTTACAAAGTTTTAGTAATTTTGAATTATATAAAAATTTTTTAGAAGATCTGGGTCTGGGATGATAGTATTGCTGGGATACCAACATAACACAAAGCCACTTTGGAGGGACACTTCTATTTCTCAAGTTATGTTAGTGTCCCACCATAAAAGCAAACACCAAAATGAACCAATAAAACAAAAAACAACAAACCAAAAAGGAATCTGTTGAACATGAGCTTACAATAAAAATATACAAAATACATGGTTTTTTAATTGATAGATGAGTTATATAATAAATACCAACTGAATCATGCTTATATTTTTTTTCTTCACAGTCTATAATGTCTGATATTTAAGGCTCACATGTTGGTTATAATAAAGGACAATTTTACTTTTAGTGTGCGGTTCTTTTCTACAATACACAGTGGCAACATTTTAAAGTTATTTCTTAAATGAGATAAATCTAATTTTCTTAGTGTTAATTTTGATTTTATTTATTTTTTAATAGAGTAAAAAGAAATTTGAAAGAGAATGTAGAGAGGCAGAGAAAGCACAACAGAGCTATGAAAGATTGGATAATGATACTAATGCAACCAAGGCAGATGTTGAAAAGGTAAGAAATAATACACTCTAGGCTTTAACATCAAAATATTACTTTTGTATAAAGAAGTCATACTGTTTGTGTCTGTGTTAGAAATTTCTCAAGAAAGATGCTAAATATAAACCTAAAGTATGTAAATATTATCATACATATTGGTCTGAGAAGGTAATAAGGTAATATGTTAATTTAGTAAAATGTCTTTGCTGCATTCAAATTGCAGAGGAAAGACATTGCTACTGGGTTTCAGTTTCTGTCCTATTCTTAAGCAGGATAGAAAGTCTGAGGTATATTGATGGAGTATGTAAAAAGGGTTGAGTAGTGTTCTTTGCCAACTACTCATGATAAAGAAAAAGAAGAAAAAACATGATAATACTGTCAGAAATACATAATAGTAGCTTTCCCAAGTAGATTCACTTTGGAAAACTGAACATCTTATTACTGATTTCTGGGCCAGATGTTTTATAGCATAACTTGTTGTTAGAATTAGCCCTGTAATTGCTGCTGCTAAGCTTTCCCTTCCCCGTTCTTTTTTTTTAGTTGTAGATGGACACAGTATCTTTATTGATTTATTTTTATGTGGTGCTGAGGATTGAACCCAGTACTTCACATGTGCGAGGCAAGTGCTCTTATCATTGAGCCACAATCCCAGCCCTCCCTTCCCCATTCTCTTTTTTATATTTATTTTTTAGTTGTAGTTGGACACAAAAACTTTATTTATTTTTATGTGGTGCTGAGGATCAAATCCAGGGCCTCGCACTTGTTAGGCGAGCACTTTACCGCTGAGCCACAATCCCAGCCTCATCCTTCCCCATTTTATATGCTTTTTATCTTAGTACATTTGACACAATGATAATACTGAAATATTAGGATTTTTGAAATATAAATGAATGCCATTACTTGATATTGTTGTGTATACTGAAGGACCACCTTTAATATATTTTCTCCTTTGAAGTTTCTGATTTCCTAAAGAAACAGAGTGAGAAAAAGGAAGAAGGAAAAGAGGAACAATTTATTTCTACCTTTCATTTTCTTTTCAACTAAAAAAACAAAAACAAAAACCCATAAATTAATATAAATTCCAGGTTACAATTGTCTTACTAGTATAACTCATGATGTTTCTATATTTTCCACCTTATTTTTAATAACTTATACCTCTAATAATAGTAATGGAAATGTACAGTCTCCGGGTAAGTCTGCTCTTGGGTTTTCTACTTTAGCATTTCCTTGTACTGGCTCCACTCATGTCTCTGTTTTAGGTTTCTGAGATATTATACAAAAATATCAAATCTATCTTTTTCATAAAAGCTTTTTAGATATTTATAGTAGATGAACAATCATTTCTTCAACTGTTCCACATATGAAGTTGTGTTGAGGTACCTTTTATTATGATTACTTTCCTTTGGATGCCTTTCAGTTTATCAATATCTCACATAAAGTAGTTTTCTGAAATTGGATGATCTGATCAATCCTGCATTTGACAACCTCCCTTGTCTGAGCATTAAATTTATGTTAATAAAATGCATATGGACTTGTGCAGCCATGTTGTTTGGATTGACTCCAATTGAGTTTATGGTTATCTGAGATCCATCCATCTTTTTACATGTGCAGATAAGAATGTGTTTTTCTTAGATACAGCTTATACTGTTAGTATTTTAAATTCATATGTACTTCTTACTAATCATTAGATTTGATCCTGCTATTACGGTTTTCATATTCTGATTTTGATCATCTATATTAATTTCCTTTCCAGAATTATGTAATGCACATAATTGATCAGTATGTTATCATTACTTGAAAATATGAGCCACAAAAATTGAAAAAGCACTATTTTTTTAATATTTATTTTTTAGTTATAGGTGGATCCAATATTTTTATTTTACTTTTATGTGGTGCTGAGGATCGAACCTAGTGCCTCACGCATGCTAGGTGAGCACTCTACCTCTGAGCCACAACTCTAGCTCTGAAAAAGCACTGTTTTTATGCATGGGAGACTTTTTGCCATTTGACATTAACTCCTTAAGAACTCTGTTGACCCATTATCAATATTGCTACAATTTTTATGTACTGGGCAAGTTTAAAGTTACTTGTTGTATGGACTTTCATTTAGCTTCTTCATTTTGTCTACAGTGATAATTTCAGTGATTAGTCAAACATCCTGAAATTTATATACAACATGTCTACTAGTTTGGCCTCTAATTTAGAATTTCAGTGTTTGCAGTTTCCTTTTTTATGCTCATTTATTTGCAGTTTCTTTAATTATTAAAAAATTAGGGGGCTGGGGCTGTAACTCAGTGGCAGAGCACTTGCTTAGCACGTGTAAGGCAGTGGGTTTGATCCTTAGCATCACATAAAAATAAAAACAAAATAAAGGTATTGTTCATCTACAACGACAAAAAAAATTTTTAAAAAAGTGGCGGCGGGGGGAGTCTATTTTTTTTTAGCTTCTAGCCTTGTTCTCCTGTATACCTGCTGGAGCCTCAGTCCCAGATCTTAGGAATCATAGCTAGTGACTTAGAACTGGAGGAATTTCCCTGACAGAACTATGAGGTTGTGTGGGTAGGGAATTTGGAATCCTCTGTCTCACCATGGTTTGTGGTAAAAAGAGAAAGGGGAAGGAGCAAATGAATGTGTACTTATGGTTCCATGTTGGAATTAAAAAAAAAAAAATTTATAGAAACACTTTGAGCTATAGTTTTTAGATTCCATGATACTTATTTATTGGAATTTTTAAGTATATTTTGGATTAAGTGACTCATAAAGGGCTTATCTGAGATCTCAAGTTATTTCCATAGGTTAGTTTGTTTCTGAGTGAAGAAGGTCTAACTATACACAAATATTAGAAGGTCAGGGACTACCTCTGTAGAATCTGGAATGAGAATAGTGAGGTATGTTTACAGTGTGCTCTACAGTTTACAGAGCCCTCCCATGTAAAATGATTCACACCTTAGAAAACTGAAAAGAAAAAATTAAGCTCAATTCTTACTTTTTAAAAAATTTTTTATTGGTTGTTCAAAACATTACAAATCTCATGACATATCATCTTTCATACATTTGATTCAAGTGGGTTATGAACTCCCATTTTTACCCCGTATAGAGATTGCAGAATCACATCGGTTACACATCCACATTTTTACATAATGCCATATTAGTGACTATTGTATTCTGCTACCTTTCCTATTCCCTCCCATCTTCCCTCCCCTCCCCTCCCCTCCCCTCCCCTCCCATCTTCCCTCTCTACCCCATCTGCTGTTGTTCAATTCTCTCCCTTGTCCCCCCCCCCCTTTCCCCTCACAACCTCTTATATGTAATTTTGTGTAACAGTGAGGGTCTCCTTCCATTTCCATACTATTTCCCTTCTCTCTCCCTTTCCCTCCCACCACTCGTCTCTGTTTAATGTTAATCTTTTCCTCATGCTCTTCTTCCCTGCTCTGTTCTTAGTTGCTCTCCTTATATCAAAGAAGACATTTGGCATTTGTTTTTAAAGGATCAGCTAGCTTCACTTAACATAATCTGCTCTAATGCCATCCATTTCCCTGCAAATTCCATGATTTTGTCATTTTTTAGTTCTGTGTAATACTCCATTTGTATAAATGCCACATTTTTTTTTATCCATTCATCTATTGAAGGGCATCTGGGTTGGTTCCACAGTCTAGCTATTGTGACAATTCTTACTTTTTTTCCCCCTGTTATTTTAGAACAGTTGAGAAATTTAGATAACCCCCCAATATGTTTAGAATTAACAATTCTTGTTTATATTCTAATATTCTCATTAATGTAGATAATATTAATTTGGCTTTTTACAAGAAATCAAGAACAGAATCATATCCTACATAAGCATTATTTAAAGAACCTTTGGTTTTGTAGAGATGAAAATCATTCAATAGTACATTATTCAGAAATCTCTTTTTGTATTTCTTTTATGTGTATTTGTCCTGTAGAAATTAATGCAGGGCTGCAGGGCCTCATACATTCTAGTCAAGTGCTTTACCTCTGAGTTACATCCCCAGCTTTTTTGCCTTTTTTTTTTTGGGGGGGGGGGGGTCTCTTTAAGTTTTTATTTTTGAGACGGGGTCCTGCTAAGTTGCCCAGACTGGGTTAAACTTGCAATTCTCCTGCCTCAGTGTCCTGAGTAGCTAGGATTACAGGTGTGAGACACTAGCCTGCCTTAAAAACAAAAACAAACCTACACACATTTTAATCATTATTTACTTCAGCTGTGATTTTTAGTTTCATATTTTAATTGGATATAAGTGTATTATAAAGAAATGATTGTTTTATTTTTAACTTTTTTAATAGTCTAAAATACTTTGAAGTTAACATGTTTTCTTGCTCTTCTGATTAAAAATATACTGGTTCAAGCTATAATGTTGTCATTTTATGTTTTCTATGTGGATTTTGTAAGAAGAGACTTCATTTGAACGGATTATTGCAAGGGAAGAGGACTATTACAATAGGAAGAGGGAGGATTTTGCAATTAGGAGACCACTCTGACTATAAAATCTGCAAGCATGTCCTTTAAATTATATCAATAATTTGAAAGAGATCACTTTGTTATTATCTTGACATCAAGTGTTGACTTCTCCACAGATATATGATCTGATTTTAGTATGATTTTTTCAGAAAAGTGAATTGTATGATTTCATTGTTGGTGGTAATTGATTGGGACCAATTTACCTTTAGGCCAAACAACAGTTGAACCTGCGTACACATATGGCTGATGAAAATAAAAATGAATATGCAGCACAGTTACAAAACTTTAATGGAGAACAACACAAGCATTTCTACGTAGTGATTCCTCAGATATACAAGGTAAATTTTAGCTATTTGAAGTTAATTGTTTCAGTTTGAAGAGTTAGACTTAAAATGTAAAACTTAAGGGTTTTTTGGACATATTTCAGGGTGTTGGGGATCAAATCCATGGTTTTATGGAGGCTAGGTAAGCCACTGAGCTACATCCCCAGCCCCAAAACTTAAGATTAATATGTTTGTAGATTTACTAGTCACCAAAAATGGTGATAAGAGATTTTTTTTTATGATTACATATTTGAAAAGTAAATTTTCCCTAACTTTTAAAGTATAAATTTTCCTGTACATTTCTTATTAGTGTTATAAATAGTCCACAAAACAATGACATTTTGAGATAAATTTTAATACTCTATTATTATATATTTTGACTTCACAGGAAGAATTTCTTTGAAGTATATTGTAATATGTTCACATAGAATTAGAATGTTGTAGCTTTTTGATACCACTCTAGAAACTTTGGCATTAGTACAGGTGATAGAAATTAATCTTCTAAAAATATATTCAAGTCTTATAAAATACTAGCCTGGTTTCTGCCTATTTGTCTCTCAGGCTCTGTTAGATCATAATTGTAATTCAGGCCTTGAGCTTGTTTATCAGTTCTGTCCATCATTACTTAATGATAACAGTTGCTACACAGGTAAAGACCCTAGACTTTTCATGAGGATTAAATTAGCCTTTTCTAGATGGAATAGAAATTAGAGAAAAGGGATTTAGTAAAACTGTCAAATGAGATAATCCCTAGGAGAGCAGAGCTTATATGGGAAGAGTGTCAGCCTAACTAGAAGTCAAAGTGGAATTTCACAGGAAACATAGTTAGAGTTGGGTATCAGATTCTGGTCATTTATTCCAAAGCACCAAGCCTACCAGTCATCACTCTGTGATGCTTTTATCCTCTTTATTTTTTGGAAAGAATTTAACTTGGATAAACTACGTTTTGTGTTTCGAGGTCTGACATCCTTTTGTTTAGATCTTGCTATGATGCAATCTTGCAACTTTGTGATGCCAGGAGCAATTCTTTTGTGAAAATGCTGGTCTTAAACTCCCAGGCTCTGTGAAGTAATTAAAGAGAGAAATAGTAGTATGGAGTTTGAGGACTTGAGCAGTGCAGCTGCTTATTAGAAAAGAGAAGGTCAGTGTTGTCAAATAAAACAGTATTAAAAAAAAAACAACAAAAAACCTTTCAATTATTGGGCTTCATGTGTTTCAATATATTTCCTGTGGCATTTGATCATGTGACTTCTTATTTTTCCTCATGTATCCCCAATTCTTTGATAGTTATTCTGAACTATAGGCTGTGATACGGACTGAGTACCTGTTGGTATGCGTTCAACTGTTGGATGCCTAGTCTGACCAGATATTACTATAATATTCTGAACGAATTTTAAGGAGTTGTAAGTCTCAGACTTGTGTATGTTATAGGTTAGTTACTTTAAAAAAAAAAATTATTGCAAGAATTTTGTCTTTGAAGAACTTTCCATGGAAGCAAGGAAAAAAAAAACTCATCTGATTAAGGAGTTAAAGGAAGGAGAGATGGGACAGGAAATAGGTAGCAAGAAAAGGGTACCTTTAGAAGACTGGAAAACCACTGTAACCTGATTTTTTTGATGCACTAAAAGCCTTGATTTGTATGTTTGTTTATTGCTTCCTTCCCTCCCTTCCCCCACCCCTCCACTAAGTATTGCTGAACAGAACTTGTTAAAAGATATTAGGATAGAAATTTTTAATTATATTTTTTTAGGGGGGTCACTAATTCTTCAAAATAAGAAATTCAGTTTTCTTTAAAAATTTATTTTTATTAGCAACTACAAGAAATGGATGAACGAAGGACTATTAAACTCAGTGAGTGTTACAGAGGATTCGCAGATTCAGAACGCAAAGTTATTCCTATCATTTCAAAATGTTTGGAAGGAATGATTCTTGCAGCAAAATCAGTTGATGAAAGAAGAGTAAGTGCTATATAATTGTCTTTGAATAAATGTATTTGGCTTAAGTATGTAGTTTAATGAAATGGGTTGGGAAAGGAGTAAAGTAATTTGATAGGTATTTTGTTCTAAATTATATTCTATGGAAGAAAGTTATGCAATTTGTTAGGCTTCTTTGGATTCTAAGAATCATTCTAACTGCTAAAATTCTGACTTAAAAAATGTTTTTTTTTTTCCCAAAACTCTTCCTTTCCCCACTAATTTTTTAGTACTGACCCAAGAATATAGCTGTGAACTGTATTACAGTTGTATTATACTGTTAGTCTACTGAAATTTTAGAAAAGAAAATGGTTAGATTTAGAGTTGCCAGAGTTGGCTTTAACACAAAGAGTTTATACTTAAGCTCAACCAAGAAACATGAGTAAGCTGGGTATGGTGGCATATGCCTATTATATCACCTACTCAGGAGGCTGAAGCAGTAGGATTGAAAGTTCAAGGCCAACCTCGGCAACTTAGTGAGACCCTATCTCAAAAATAAGAAGGACTTGGGGTATAGCTCAGTGGTAGAGCACTTGCCTAGCATGTATAAAGCCCTGGTACTTTGTAGTACAATTTCTTATACTACAAAAAGAAAAATGATCCATGAGAAAGAGGAAAGAGGGCATTGTGAGTAGAGGAAATGGGTTAATTTACTACCCTTGAGGAAATAAAATCTCATTGCATTGTATCTTGATTGTAGTGTAATTGAATCTAGTATCTGATCATTTCTTAGTAAAAGTTGATTAACCAAAAAGCATGATTAGCAGAAATTCAGAGTACAAGGAAAAAAGCAAGAGAAAAGAACTAGGTTTGGGGGATAATCAGATATGTACCACATATTTTATTGTTCACAGTAAGCCTATCAAACTTATCAGGTAGGCATAGTGAGAATCCTTCCTAGCAACTAATAGAATGCTTACATTTAATGAGGAGGATTTTTTTACTTCTTTAATTGGGAATTCCAGTATTTTCATATTACAGGATCCAAAGTTAGGTACTTTCTGTTCTTGCCCTCTGCTTATTTTTACCCTTTAGTGAATTGAGGGCAACATTAGTTACAAAAGTAGGAAATGACTTAAATGACTGGCAAAGTATGCTGCTAACAGAAACAGGAAGCAGAAGAACCAGGTATTCTCTTTGAAAATGAGAGTAAGACGTCAGTGAAACATTCAAATAGAGATAAGTATGTCTAGAGGGTTATATGGTACTTACATGAATTTTCAAGTTTTAGGTGAACAGTATTAACTTTGTATTTTCATACTTGCTTTTTGCACTCAGTATTATGAGATCTTTCCCCATTACTCTGCTAATATCCCACAGAATGTATTTAACCTTTCCTCCATTAGATGAATGAGTCTTTTTTTTTTTTAACATTTTTTTTTTGGGTTGTCAGTGGACCTTTATTTTATTTATATGTGGTGCTGAGAATCGAACCCAGGGCCTCACACATGCTAGGCAAGCGCTCTACCACTTAGTCATAACCCCAACCCAGATGAATGAGTCTTTCTACTCACTTTTTTTTTATGGTTAGATGCTTTTTCCTCATTCTAAATTTCAACTTCTTGTTGACATCCCTTAAAGCAAAGGGTTTTTTTCCTTTGAAACTTCTTGTAATTTCTACTTGATAATAGCCTCTTTTCTGTGTTCCTTTGGTTTAGATAGTTTTAGCTAGCTCACTAGTCATCAGATGAATTTTGAGGGGGAAAGCTACTGAGTGAAAACATTTTATGACTTTTATAAATTGATAATTTATTTGCAAGTTAGTATATTTTGGATATATTTAGGATTTACTACCAGTTCACAGGAAGACTTTATTCATTTTAAGCTTTTGATGATTACTATAGGATTATTTTTTTAAACTTATTTGTTTCCTTGTACTGATTAAAGTTTTGAAAGTTAATGTATTATGAGCAAATGAAAAGGTTAAAAAAGTTTGTTTTTTTATGGATAGGATTCTCAAATGGTGGTAGACTCCTTCAAGTCTGGCTTTGAACCTCCAGGAGACTTTCCATTTGAAGATTACAGTCAGCATATTTATAGAACCATTTCTGATGGAACTATCAGTGCATCCAAACAGGAGAGTGGGAAAGTGGATGCCAAAACCACAGTAGGAAAGGCCAAGGGCAAATTGTGGCTCTTTGGAAAGAAGCCAAAGGTAAAAGTCATAAAATTCCTATATGCTAATCAGATCTTTTTAGTAGGTCAATTAAACCAATGTAGGTATTGAGTGGATACTAATTTACTGTTAATGGAGGGTAAATATTTTCAGTTGGAATGGTTCAGTTAACCTTTCAGTTACAGGAAATTGAAAAAATTATTTCTAGATTTTACATTTGACCACCACTTAATAATGAATAAGAATTGTTAATATCTCTGAAGTTAAATGCTTTTGAAATTTTATTTCTGTATAGTTTCCATCAGAATTTCTAAGGAAATATGACTCTAACTGAAAGATCACAAAAATCACAGTTCTCAATTGGAATGAATGATTAACCACAGTAATGTGTCAAATTAGAACTTGTAGATTGTACTAATTGTCTCTATCATCTGTGAGTTTTTAATGGGAAAAGCTCAGTGTTCTTGAATAATTACAGTTAAAAGAAAATCTCTAGTTAGCTAAGAGAATTTTACTCTTCGTGTTAAAGCCTAGCCTTTTACATGTTATTTATTTTAGGCAAGTAAACCTAGATTAGCAAATGGAATGGATAATTGCTTTGTCTTTCTTATTTATGTATTGATTCTAATAGTGTCATGTCAGTAAGGAGAATAGGTATATGCCTTTAGTATGATGTGCTGTATTTATTAAAGTATACTTGATTATTTTAATTTATTCCTTTGATCTTGGTATATAAGTGTAACTAAAATTTAACTCTATGCCTACAAATATATTTTAAAGCACAATTATAATTAACCCAGGCTTTATTCATGCTCTTAATAATATTGTCCAGTCAAGAAGTTAAGAGGTGAGAACATTTTTTTGGTCATATCAGAGTAGCTAGAAGAGCTTTAAAATGTAAGAAATATTGAAGTTTATTTAAAAAGAGTTGAAATAAGGAAGAAATACAAACAGTCTCAGAGGAAAGCTAGTGAATATAATAATTTTCTTTTTGCTTATTTGTGAAGATAATCAGGGATAGTTAATATTTTATATACATGGTATCTTTAGCTATAGATACTGCCTTTTGCCCTATACAGGTTAAGTATAAGCTGCATAGGAATAAATGGTGGCGCTAATATTCTATATTTCTAGAATATTATAGAAGTCAGAAGAGAATTTTATCTAGGTCTTATTATTTTAACATTATAATTTGTGTATTCTACTTTTAATTTGTCAGCTTATAGAAATGATCAAGTGAAATGGTATATTTTAAAAGTAAGTTTGACTTTTTAAAAATTATAATTTTGGGCAAAACTGAATTTACTTTCTTATAATATTTTTATAGAAAAATTATTCAAGGTATATTTTGTGAAAAGTATGTTGCCAAAAATAGAATTTTCATTTAGGAAAAAACTATGCACATTTGGCTTATTGATTCCTTTCTTTATTTCCATATTAGCCACAGTCCCCACCCTTAACCCCTACTAGTTTATTCACATCCAGTACTCCTAATGGGTCCCAGTTTCTCACATTCTCCATTGAGCCCGTGCATTATTGTATGAATGAAATAAAAACAGGGAAGCCCAGAATTCCTTCTTTCAGAAGCCTCAAAAGAGGGGTAAGTTTAATAATGGGTTAAAATGCATGATGGCCTATTGTGTGTGTAGTGTGGCTTTTAATACTCTCCACCCTCATTATAAGGCTCTCTCTCCTATAAAGACATAGTTTAAAAACACCACAGAATTAAGTATAGCTGCCCTCAAGTTAAAACAACTCCTCTTTATAACATTTGAAATGCTCAACCATAAAAGAATGGTGTTATAAAGAGGGTGCTGGGTACCATCATATTTTAGCTATTTTTTTTTTGTTTATGTGAAATTATATGTTCACCATTGTCTTGTAATGTATTTACATTTTTAAGACTTTCAGTAATTTGTCACTGGAGTTACTGATGTAATAATTTGTCACTAATTCTGATTTTACCTGCCAATTTTATAAAGTAGTATATTGTTGACAATAAAATGCTAAGCTTAATTTTAATTGCCCTATTTAACTTTTAGAAACAAAACACAATTTCCAGTTACTTAATACAAAATAAAGATAGGCACATTAAATGTAAAGACTGATTAAAGATCAAATTAATATATTAGAAGGTAACTTTGTAAATTATAAACCCTATAAGAGTACTTAGGTATTATTGAGTAATATGTACATGGAATTTGTTTTACTGATCTAAAAAATAATTTTTTTATCAGAATTTTCCCTTTATTCTTTTTTTAAATTGGCCAGCCTTTTGACATTTACTTATTCCTAATGATATTCTGCAAATAAAAACTTATAAAATAGTAAAGTGCAGATACAGTATTAAATTGTTTCTTAGAAACAACTATCTATTACAGATAAATGTATTTCATTTTGTTAGTGAGGCTGGTTTTTTCTTTCCCTTCCTCCTTTCCTTCTTTCTCCCTGCTTCCTTTCTGCATTCTCCCACCTTCCCTCATTTTCCTCTCTCCCTGGCCTCACTTCCTGTCTCCCAGCTTCCTTTCTTTCTTAGCTCCCATCTTTCCTCCCAGGGCCTTGTACATGCTAATAAGCATTTGTTCTAACACTGACCTGTTCCTCCACCCCATTATTTTTCTTGTTTATATTTGATTTTTAGGCTGTGCTTTACATATTCATAGCCTATAATTTAGATCACTTATAAAATTTGTGTGGACATTCAAAAACATAGGTATGATAACCCACAGGTGAGAAATAATTCAGTGTCATTAGAAGTACAATCATTAACATTAATATATTAAAGTTGGATTCCTTCCTTTTTTCTTCTTTCTTTTCTTCCCTGTTTTTCTTCCTTTCTGTAGCCCTTTCTGACATCAAATTACATTTTGGTCACTTGTAGAACCAAATATATTATTTATTCAGGGCAAGATTCCATTATTATCTACAGTTTCCATTAAAATAACATAAGAAACCTCACTGATGTTAGTAATGGAGCAGAAATGTTCCAATGTGTTATTTCCTTTTTCTGACTTCCTTTTTCTTCTATTGACTTGAACTACTTTGCATCTACCTTACCTAATTCTATATGTGGACGATTAGGTAGGTAATTTATGACATTTTGAAAAGTGCACGTGGAAAAATTTGTATGATACTTATAGGCATGCAGGTTGTCACTTTCAAAAGTTGTTAATCCTTGTTTAAAAGACTTGAAGAGATCGTATTTGGAGTTTCTTTTGCCTGAATTATGAGGGTAGCATTGATTCCCATATTACTTCTCTGTGTCAGAGATATAAAGGATGAGTCCATGAAAGAAATTAGAAATGGGAGAGAAGCTTAAATATATGGCATCTTCATTCTTCCTGAACAGTTTGCAGGTAGATTTTTATAACTGCAGAACTTAAAACTATTTGCTTGATTTTTTTTGTTTTATATTTATATATTGCTTTAAGTAAAAATATTTATACATTGTCTTTATAGAGGCAAAAATCTCTTCTTGGTTTTAGTGTTATTTATCATACCAAAGAAGAAAGCAGTATGCAAAACAGAAAATATGACAAACCAACCAACTAGGGGATTGGAGAGTGGAGCAAGGAGGGAAGTATACTATAATTTGAGGTTGAGAAATTTCTTTGTTTTATTGGTATTTGTTAGTTTACCAGATATAATTTTGAAAATTAACCATAGAAATGTTTTTACACCACTTAAAAATTTTGTCAACGTAGAAAAACGCAAAAGGAAGAAACTAAAGCTTTAATAAGCCAGTTTCTGTGTTTTTACATGGATTGTTTCGTCTGTTAAGCTTACAGTAGGCCTTTTTAGGTTTCTTAAAGTTAGTGAGTTGTACCATTGAATTCATAAACTCTTGTTTTGAATTCTCTTGAATTTTGTTATCCTAAATAATTTTTCCTTTAAAAATAATTTTTTAAAATTTTTATTTATTCTTTTTCTCCTTCATCTGCCCTTCAGTACTGGGGTTTCTTTTTAAAAAAAGAAAACTAGTGTTTTTAGTTTCCAGTGTCAGTAAGGATGTAAGAAATATTGATTAATGTTGCTGAGTTTAACAGTGGTACCAGTGGATCTTTTCTGAGGGTGAAGATCTGTAATTGCCCTCTGTGACATCAAGTTCTAACCATTAATGGACATTTAGGAACTATACCAAAACTTGACTGCTTAATATACAAACTAATCATTTTTACCCTCTAACTACTTCACTTGAGCTTTATTTAGTACTCTTTTTTAAAAGTAATATTATCTAGCAATAATGAGTTGTTTTTATCTAAATTATTTATGACAATATAGACTTCCAGAACTATTTTTTAAGATTTAAAATATTCAGAGTGCAGTTCTCAAAAATTTGTTCAATTTAAATTTAAATAAAACTAATTATTTATTTAAATACCCCATTTCCTTTTTAGCTCTTTTGTATGTAGTAAGATATAATGGATATAAAAATTTCTGGTTTATAGGTATATAATGATTGTGTATGAGAATATAGTTTCTTTGCATTAAACATATTTTACTTTAAAAATATACAAAATATGTTTCTAATATTTTTACAAAGAATTGAAATTCTTATATCCTCATCTAAAGCCAGTGTATAAATTTATTTTCACTTGATAATAAAACCAGTTAAAAATGAACACATTAGATTTTTTTACCTATAATTATCTTAATGTTTTCTCTAAAAGATGTTCTTACAGAAATTAGAAAAACAACTTCATCACTTAGAAATTTAGCTGTTGAAAATTATTATAAAAGTAAAATACTAAAACAGTTTTGTTTCTTATCCTATATGTAATTTTGTTAATGACATTTAATGAAGACCACAAATTTTTCCTTAATTTAAATCTTTTTTCCTCCTCACCAGTAATTTTGCCATAGCAAAATAAATTGTGTTTTTTCTTTCTTAAAACTACTGACAGGGCTGGTGTTGTGGCTCAGTGGTAGAGTGCTCGCCTAGCACGTAGAAGGCCCTGGGTTCCATCCTCAGTACCATACACAATAAATAAAATAAAAGTATTGTGTCCAACTACAACTAAAAAATAAATATTTAAAAAAAACCCCAAAAAACTACTGACAGTCTAAAGAATGTTAAGCTAAATTCAGAAAGATAATGAATAGCAAACATCTTTTCTTATCTTCATAACCATTAATATGTGGCCAACTCATCAGAGATAAGGGGTAGATATTTTTGCCAGATATTTATTAAAATTAATTTTTTTTTTTTTTATGTGAAATTTTAGCTGACATCTCACTCTCTTCTCTTAAAACATAGTTTTGCCCATTGCCTTGGCATACACCTGTAATCCCAGCCACTCAGGAGGATGACAAGTTTAAGGTCTGCTTGGGAAACTTAGCAAGACTCTGGCTCAAAATAAAATTTTTGAAAAGGACTGGGAATGTAGTTCAGTGACAGAATGCTTGTACACAATAGCATGAGTAAGATTCTGAATTCAATCCCCAGTTACACCAAAAAAAAAAAAAATTATTTAGAGAATAAGAAAAAATGAAAAGTTTAATAAGAGTTATTAGCTAAAATGTAATGAATGTGAAGATTAGTTTTGTAAAACTTGCTGCATATTGTGGATCACTTTGTATTTGTGTATGATGGATCCTACACCAGTTGCAAAATTCTTTTAACCCTCAGAATATGTTGGTGTGTGTGTGTGTGCTTGAGGGTGGTATTTACATAACATTTAAGAGTACTGTAGTGGGTCTCTTTTGATTGTTTCATATTTTAAAAAGAATAAGTGCTAAAATTGTAGTTATGTTTTTAGTGTTATTTTTTAAGCATATGGATTTCAGAATAAAACTGAAAAATAGAAACTATTTTCAAAGTGAAATTCAATCTATATATTTGTGTCTGTTAGGAAATATATATATAGTAAACTTCATTATGGGTAACTCATTTATTATTGTGGTGATAATGTGTTTTTAAAGTGTCTGTAAAAAAGCACCTTAAAACTAAAGTAAAAATGTCACCCTCACCAAACCATGATATTTTTAAATTTAAACAATCTTTTGAACTATAAAAACCCAGATATGGTGTTTTCTTTAATGCATTGGGCATTCTGCTTTTTAGTTATTTCACATAAGACTTCTTTTTAGATGGCTAATTTTAGATCTTTTATTTTCAGAGCTTAGTATTTTTAAGAATTAAGAGCTATATGAGTAAAATTCACTTAAGCAAAAATTCTCTCTAAAAGAAAATGCATGATTACTGATAGAATGATTACTATTTACTTTTGAGTTTTAGTTAAACTTAGAAAATATCTGCCCATTATCATCAGTGTATGTTTTTTTATTATTATTATTATTTTTATTTTTGCAAGTAATTTGCTTTTCCAAAATGTGCTTAAAATTTTTTTTTCTGGCATAATTGTTTGGATTGTGAAATGTACATGATTTATTTTAATATTATAAAGTATAGGTTATTGCATCTTCTGTATTATAGTTTCATGTGAATAATTTACCATTTCTTTCTGTTTTCCATTGAACTATTCAGTGGTCGGTGAAGATGGTAAGCCTCGTGTGCTGATATATATACTGTGCCAACATTAAGTAATCTCAAAACATTGTTTTGTTTAATTCAAAACAAGTGGTAAAGTACATCCCACATTATCACCTTGTGTTTTTTTTTTTTTTTTATAATTTAATCCATAGTCCAATATATCCCAGTACCTCTCAGTGTCATAGATTATAAAGTAATGTGGTTAACTGTCATGGACCATTAAGTTCTTAAATGTGATTGGGTGGAGTCCTTGTCATGTTATAGTGAAGAATAAAATTATACTACATATTATTTTAAGGGTTACATGGTAGAGGCTGAATGTGGAATATACTCCTGTAATCCCAGTGACTCAGGAGACTGAGGCAGGAGGATTGCAAGTTTGAGGCCAGCCTGAGCAGTTCAGTGAGGTCCTAAAGAACTTAGTGAGACCCTGTATCAAAATAAAAATTAGATGTAGCTCAGTGGTTAAGAACCCCTGGGTTCAATCTGCAATACCCGCCTGCCCCCCCCCCCCCCCAAAAAAAAAGAAGGGTTACATGGTAGAGCAAAAATCCATGGTATATGCAGAAGGAAAATTTAGCATAAATTATTTTTCCTAGCATTCTTAAGAAAGGTCATATAAAGTTTATTTGTAGTTTATCTTATACACTACACTGTTAGATTTCTCCAAAAAGAAAGAAATTGACCTACTAGTTTTATTATGAAGTCAATGCTCTGTTTTTCTGTACCACTGAAGGGAAACAGAAATATAAATAATCTAATGTGTATATATGTATGTGTGTGTGTGTGTGTGTGTGTGTGTGTGTGTGTGTGAATTTTCACCATTTCAGATGTTAATGGAGCTACATTATGAAGAACTAAATCAGAATTACTGGGAGTTTGTATATGAAACTGTACAAAATAACTTTTGGAAAATAGACTTTTTTTAAGACAGTTCAAATTTAACCTTTATAAATTCCCTTATAGTAAGAAAGGTTGTTAAATACCTCAGAGGGCTTCTTCACATCCATAAGAAATAGAGTTTATTCTCATATTCTATGTAAGAATGAGTCATAATGTTGAAATGAGATATTAGAAATTTGGGTGCCTAGGCTAGTCACAGTGGCACACACCTGTAATCTCAGCTACTCAGGAGGCTGAGACAGGATGATCGCAAATTTGAGACCAGATTGGGCAATTTAATAGAGATTCTGTGCTTCAAATAAAAAAGTAAAAATGGCTGGGGATGTAGTTCAGTAGTAGAGCACTATTGGGTTCAGCCTGCAGTAACCTAGTAATGTGGGAGGAATGCAGGTGCTGTAGGTATCTAATGTTAATAAATTTGATCATGAGGTTGATTAGGAATAAGTGGAAATATGGTAGATTTTGCTTGTGGGAAATTATGAGTTTTTAATAATATCCCCTCCCCAAAAAAGGCCTACCGTAGAATTGTTTTTCTTTTGTATAATACTGTTTTCCCCATTATGTTAGGGAGAGAATTTTTATTTGTTTGTTTTTGTGGTGCTGGGATTTGAACCCAGGCAAGCACTTTACCACTGAGCATTATGTATTTCTTCATTAAGAAAAATTTCAAGGGGCTGGGGTTGTGGCTCAGAGGTGGAGCACTTGCCTACCATGCATGAGGTACTGGGTTCGATCCTCAGCATCACATAAAAATAAAATAAAGATATTGTGTCCACCTATAACTAAAAAATAAATATTAAAAAAGAAAGAAAATTCAAGGTTTTCAGAAATATTCTAAAAAATGTAAATTAGAAGTTTGTCTTTGGCACATATATAATAGTTTAAAACATGCACCGCAGATTAGAATAAATCTGACAATTTGTGTTGAAAATTAACTACTACATTTAAAAGAACTTTGTATAGGAAATTTTGTCATTCGTTTAATTAGGTCAGATTTGGTTGCTTGAAGATGTTACATCTGGTGACTGGTAGGTGAAAGCACAAAGGATACTTAGGATGCTCTACTTTTTGTAGGCAAGTTTGCTGAATATCCTTAGTAGGCAGGCCACTGGGGAATGATTCTGGGGATTTTGTTTTTTAATTAAATGTTACATTTGGTCATGATTCACCTTAAAAGTGAGTTTTTTTAAAAAAGTAACCAGGTCAGTTGCAGTGGCCTTGGGAGGCAGAGACAAGGAGGATCGTGAGTTCAAAGCCAGCCTCAGCAACAGTGAGGTGCTAAGCAACTCAGTGAGACCCTGTCTCCAAGTGAAATATAAAATAGGGCTGGGGATGTGTCTTAGTGGTCTAGTGCTCCTAAGTTCAATCCCTGGTACCCACTGAAAAAGGGCAGGGGGAAAAGCATGTGGTGGCACATGCCTGTAGCCCAGCAGCTTGACAGGCTGAAACGGGAGGATCACAAGTTCATAGCCAACCTCAGCAACCCTTAATAACTTAGTGGGACCATTTCAAAAATAAAAAATAAGGCCTGGGGATAAAGCTCAGTTGATAGAGTGCTTGCCTTACAAGCTCAAAGCTTTGGGTTCAATCTCCAGCACCACCAATAAATGAATGAATGAATAAATAAATAAATGATGATGATGATGATGATGATGATAAATAAAAATGCTGGGGGTGATAGCTTACGCCTGTAATCCCAGCCTCACAGGAGACTGAGGTAGGACGATTGCAAATTCAAGGCTAGTCTCTACAACCTAGTGTCTGTCTTAAAATTAAAAATAAATAAATAAAGATGGCTGAGGATGTGGCTCAGTAGTTAAGTGCCCCTAGGTTCAGTCCCTGGTACCAAAGGAAAAAAGAAAAGTAAGTGAAGCATTCTTGTGGATGGTAATATAAAGCTACTTGGCATATAAATGGCCTAAAGAACAAGAATGCATTTCTTGCTCATTTCAGCAAACACTTTAAAAAATTAGGCTATGTTCATATTCTTACGATAACCATTTTAAAAGAAAAATGGAGAATAATAGTTATCATTAATTTGGGAATTATGTAAACAGTTAATGTTTACATTAAATGGGTTTAATAATTGCTAGTATTTATTCTATTGTAATCTCTAATAATGTAGCTAAAGTAACAGTGGCTAAAATAACATTTATGAGGGAAAAGACATCATTTAGTACAAAGTGTACACTTAAATACCTGAAGTTTTTATTAAATCGCATAATTTCTTGACTAAGAAAACATCAAAAAAGGAGTTGGGATTGTTCAGTGGTAGAGCGCTTGCCTAGCAGGTGTGAGGCACTGGGTTCGATCCTCAGCACCACATATAAATAAATAAATAAAATAAAGGTATTGTGTTTATCTACAACTGAAAATATTTTTTTTAAAAATCAAAAAAATTTTAGACACCAAGAATCCTTCCTAAAGAACAATTAGATCCTTTCTTTAAATTGTATCTTTCTTCCAGATACAGCTGAAGTATGTTATTTGATTTTACATAAGGAAAATTCCAAGTATACTCCATATATGAATATAATTATTATTCATTGGATAGTTCTACCTTTTGCTTTTTATTGATCAGATATGTCTTGATTCTGAAGAATGGTTTAATGAATGTAATCAAAGACTGTAATGCAGTATTGAAGTATATTTCATTAATTAGTTGTTTTTATGAGGTAAGTTGCTTACTTAACTCAGTTTTATAAGTTATACATATTTTTAATTTGAACATTTGTAACATCCTAAATATGGCAATGGGTTTGATTTTAAAAAGTGGTGATGCGCAGTATTTGAAATAACTTGTACAGATAAGAAATGTTATGTGTTTCCATTTTGTTGTTGTTGCTGTAAGAAAATTCATATGTATTCATTTTAACTCTGCCAAGACTTGAAAATAATGTGATATTAGTAATTACCAATCATCTGTATTTGGTGATATTTTTACCTATTTTGTTTTATGTTTTTAAAAAATGACTAAAATGTGAGGCTTTTCAATATAATTGCTTTCATCAATACACACATCTATGTAGATTTGTTTATTTTTTAAAGGGGGCTATTTGAGACATTTGAAATTAAACTTAAAATTTGTATATATTCTTACTTCATAGTAAATTTTAAAAATAAATGTCCTGAAAATGTCTTTCATAATGATTTAGATCTTCTTTTCAGGGGCCAGCGCTAGAAGATTTCAGTCATCTGCCGCCAGAACAGAGACGTAAAAAACTGCAGCAGCGCATTGATGAACTTAACAGGGAACTACAGAAAGAATCAGACCAAAAGTAGTGTTTCTTTAAGTCCTCTCTATCATTATTTCTTTTAGAATCTACTTTGTATGATGTGTGTAAGGTTTCAAAATCATAACATCTTATGCTGGGGATTTAGCTCAGTGATACAGTGCTTGCCTAACATGTACAGGGCCTGGTTTTGATATCTAGCCACACATCGAAAAGAATAGAATTAGGCATCCTATTTGAAATGTCTTTTGAGAGAAATATATACTTCAAGCAAAAATTTTATGTTTGCTGGGTCATAGATAAAAATGAAGTGTTAGAGATTTTCTTTAATTATCTATTTTTATTAGGTGTTTATAAATATATATAACTTATTCCTTCCATAAATTTGTAAAATAGTTTGATTATTCATTTTCAAGAGTAGTTTGACCGACGCTAACTACCTCTTGTACTACCTCAGTTCAACAGCAACCAGAGACTATAATTACTTTGTTGGCTGTAAAACATGTTGGCAGCTGGGTGCAGTGGTGCACACTTGTAACACCAGTGGCTCTGGAGACTGAGGCAAGAGGATCGCAAGTTTAAAGTCAACCTCAGCAACTTGGAGAGGACCTGAGCAACTCAATGAGACTCTGTCTCTAAATGAAAATATTAAAAAGGGATGGAGATGTGGCTCCAATGCTTAAGTGCACTTGGGTTTAATCCCCGGTACCCTCCCCCAAAAATGTTGGTAGACTTACGCTTTAATTTTTTTATTTTACAAAATTTTCCTTTATTCAGTTTTGAAGAAGTGTACTGGGTTTAATCCCTGGTAATAAAACAAAACAAAACAAAATGTTGGTAGATATTGCTCAGTCATTTATAGCTTCATATTCATTCACTTGTACTTTTTTTTTTTTTTTTACAAAGTTTAATTTTTAAGAAGTGATCATAGAGTTTTTTTTTTTTTTTTAAATGATGAATAAAGGGTGATTACAATGAATTGGTGGCTTACCAAACATAAAATTGGGACTTAAACTAAAGCATGAGAGATTGAAAATTAAAGTTTTGATGTTGAAAATTGTGTATCAGGAGCCAGACATGATGGTGCATGCCTATAATCCCAACAACTTAGGAGGCAGAGGCAGGAGATTGCAAGTTCAAGGCTAGCCTAAGCAACTTAATGAGACTCTTGTCTCAAAAAGGGATAGAGATATAAAGTGCCCCTGGGTTTGATCCCCAGTTACCCCCACCCCCCAAAAAATTGTGTATCAGGTGTGATACACAAATGAAATTTTACAGTTACAGTCAATTTTTAGTAACTAATGGTCTATAAAGTCACCATGAGCACTAAATTATCGAATATTAAAACATTGCTCCTTAGGGAAAGGGAGATACAGTGTTAGGTGCCAGGTAACCCTGGTCCAACCTTTTCATTAATAGATAGATACATAATCTTGTTTTATATGTTTCTGTCTAAAGACACCTTATTTGATACATACTGTTGATTCATTAACTTTGAATCCTGCCAATGACAATGTAACTCATGCTTACCAAAACTTACATAAGACTTGATTTCTCCATTAGTAACATTACAGACTTCTTGTGCTGAGGAACACTAGACAACACTTCAACACTATATGTGGAAACCATTTTTAAATACTCATATTACCAACAAAAAGCACAAAAATGTGAAAAATATGGCACTACATAAATAGGAAGCAAAAAGACCACTTGTTCAAAATATGAGAGCAAAAACAAGAAGGTGAAGTATCTCCTTGCATGACCACAGCTGGTAATGTGAATGTACCTCCAGTGACGCAAATATTTCTCTGTCCTGTGCATGTCCATGAGTGACCAGGAACGCACTTTAAATATTAGTTTGGAAATTACAAATAAATTTTAGCAGGTAGGCAAATTTATAAAGGAAACTGAACAATGAACTTAACTATATTAGTATAAAAAATTTTAGAATGTTAAAAGTATTTACTTAAACAGTATATAAATAGTCTCTGGAAAATTATAATGTTAGGTCTAATATTTGGTGCTTACCATATATAATAGCCTGTATGAGGATTATAGAAGAAAATACAAAAATGGAGAAAACATAGTCCCTAATCCGAGGAGGTTCACACTCTAAGTGGGGAAAGGCAAGACTGACAACTTAATTTTTACCCATGCTGGATTGTGATAGCTGCTAATATGAGATGCAAACTTTTAAGGGAATTTAGAGGAAATAATGATGAAGTTTTACTGAGGTATTTAGGAAAGACTTTACTGGGGAGAGAGTTGGATAAGAGAGGGCTGTGGTCTAGGAAATAAATGTTTATGGAAGGATTATTATGTACCAGGTACTGAGCTAGGTGTTTTTTTTTTTTTTTTTGAGTTTTACATGCAACACATTATTGAATCCTTCAAAATAGCCCTCGGAAGTTGTTGTTCCTGCAGATGAAGAAACTGGATATTAAATAAATACATGTTTTATCTAAGATAACTAGTAAATAACATTGTAACACTAGCCAGCTTGTCTTCAGAGCATTGGAATTGGACCTTGATAGAATAGGATATTGTTACTTAAAGAAGAAAATGAGGAGGGAAAGAAGCATTCAGGGATGTGGGGCAAGGCAAGAATAAAAGCACAGAAATGTGTTCTTGCTGAGCCTTGGAATTCTTTCTAATCTAGGAAAACTGTTGCAAATTATGTAGCATGTAATATCAAAATGAGGGTAAAAAGATGTAAGATGACTTAAGAAAAGGCTTGAATACTTTCTTGTGGAGTGCTGTAGGTATTGGAGAATTATATTCTGACTTTTTTTTTTTCCCCTTCCCGGTGCTTGGGATTGAATCTAGGGCCTCATGCATGCTAGGCAAGTGCTCTAAGCAACTCTGTATTCTGAAGAAAGATAATGTAAAGTTATGCGAAGAATTGGAAGGGGATTGTAGATAGGGTCACTAGTTAGGGTACTTTATAACAGTCCCTGTAAGTGATGCCAAGGGCCTAGATTAAGACATGGCATGGAACAGAAAGGAGGAATAGATATGAATCATTTCAGAGCAAAGTATGTTGGACTTTGTTATACCTGATTGGATATTGGAGAACAGAAAAACAGAATAGATTTTAATGCCTTATAGCTCAGGATAGTACTATAGAATTAATTGAAACAGTAAGAAAAACGAATATGGGACAAAATGGCTTTATTTATGTTAATTTTTGAAATATGTGAAAAAATATTGGAAGGGTCCAATTGAGTTGGAAATATGAATCTAGAACTTAGGAGAGAAAGGACTGAAGATATACATTTGAGAATCTTCTGAAGATAGGTGGCATTAAAACAGTAAGAAATCATCCTCAAAAGTGTAGGATGAGATGAGAAGAAACCGCTGTCATTTTATGTAACAGACATTTAAAAGTTGAACAAAGAAGGAGAAGGAGGTAATAAGAGAGACTGTAAGAAAGCAAAAGTGAGGAGGAGGAAAAGAAAATGTAACCTCTAGGTCAAGAAGGAAAAAACATGCTAGTCAATAGTGTCAGATGTTAAGAGTCAAGGAGCTGTGATTGGGCATAACCTATTGTAGTGTGATTAGAGAAGATCAGTTAAGAGTAGTTGGCAAATGACTAACTGTAGAGGAAAAGGGGCAAATTAAAGATGGCATTCCTATTTCTAGCATAGATGGGTGGGAGGATGGTGATGATGTGTGAATTGAGATAAGGAACACTGGTTGAATAGAGTTGCTGGGTGGGAATACGAGTTTCATTTGGAACATGATGGATTTATAATTATTTGAGTATTTTACCAGCTATTTTTTAAAACTTGAATATGTATATTCAATATGTATATTGTATAACTATATAAATATACAAATAGGCATGTGTGTATGTCTATATACACACATACATAATTTCTTTAAGAAAAGAAATGAATTTAGTCTGTTTTGGTATTACAAGTGTTTTAAAAGATCATTTTCATAAATTATTAACTCTACATTATAAGCTTTATGCAGATTGTCTTTAATCAGGTAATATTTGATTAAACTTTTTAAAGAGATGTGACTCTACTTAAGATTAATTTGCACTTGAGTCTTCAAAGTCAAATGAAACTCATTTAAAAGCACTTGAAGTGAATATTTAATTCTATGATTTCCTTCTCTTTTTCAGAGATGCACTCAACAAAATGAAAGATGTATATGAAAAAAATCCACAAATGGGGGATCCAGGGAGTTTGCAGCCTAAATTAGCAGAGACTATGAATAATATTGACCGTCTAAGAATGGAAATCCATAAGAATGAGGTAAATTTGGTTTTCAGCAGTTGTCTGTTATTTTCATAAGCTTTATTATGGTAGATTGGTTTTTGCTAAAAATTAATGTTCCAGTACCTATATCTAATTTCAGAAATTATGATCTAAAAGTATCATGATGGTTTGTAATCTTTAGATTTATGCCTCATTTTAAAAATTTTAAACCTTTATATAAAACTAAGTATTTATGCTATTTTTTTAAATATTTATTTTTTAGGCATAGTTGGACACAATACCTTTATTTAATTTATTTATTTTTATGTGGTGCTAAGGATCGAACCCAAGGCCTCACATATGCTAGGTGGGCGCTATACCACTGAGCTATAGCCCCAGCCCCAATACTTACGCTATTATTTAAAATGATCTAGGGCTGGGGATGTGGCTCAAGCGGTAGCCCGCTCGCCTGGCATGCGTGCGGCCCGGGTTCGACCCTCAGCACCACATACAAACAAAGATGTTGTGTCCACCGAGAACTAAAAAATAAATATTTAAAATAAATAAAATGATCTATAAAGTTCATCACTGACCAAAGTGGACCAAAGATTTCTCATCTCCAAGAATCATATAATTGACCGGGTATAGTGGCTCATGCCTGTAATCTCTGTGGCAGGGGAGGCTGAGACAAGAGGATCAAGAGTCCAAAGCCAGCCTCAGCAACTTAGTGAGGCCCTAAGCACCTTAGTGAGACCCTGTCTCTAAATAAAATATAAAATGGGTTAAGAATGTGGCTCAGTGGTTAAGTGTCCTTGTGTTCAATCCCTGGCACCAAAAAAAAAAAAAAAAAAATCACATGATTATAAAACCTCAAAGCACATTTTAAATGCAGAGTATCATGAGTTTTTGAATATAATTTATTGATCTTGGTTATTATTATTATTTTTTTCCTAAGGCTTGGCTGTCTGAAGTTGAAGGCAAAACAGGTGGGAGAGGAGACAGACGACACAGCAGTGACATAAATCATCTTGTTACACAGGGACGAGAAAGGTCATTAATTTTGCATTTTTATTCATATTTTTTCTGTTTTCCAAACTTTCCTTACCCCTTTGTTCTAAACTTTATATAGTTATCTAATTCAATAAGTTTGGCATTTAATAACTTAATTCTCTTGAACCTAAGTAATTTTTTGATGCTTTAACATTAGTTGCAGGTGAAGTATTAAATGGTAGTCTATCATGCATCCATAAATCAGATCTAGAAACAAAGAAAACTCATGGAGCTATAATCTGGGCCATAGGAACCTTAGGCATGGGAAGATTTCCCTATGATTTAGGTGGAGCTGAGTAACTTTTTTTTAATGGAAGCCCATTGAGAAAAAGTAAAATTATGAAAGGTTTGGGAAACATTTCTTTCTTTCTTTTTTAAATTTTTTATTGTTGGTTGTTCAAAACATTACATTTCTTTCTTTCTCTAACTCAAAGTAAAATAGCTTTTTTTGAGTATAGGAAGTCACACTGAGCTACTTAACTTCCTTTGTCCTAATAACAGGCGTTTATTACATCTGGGATCTAGAGTATGCCAGGCATTGTGCTAAGGGCTTCATGTGCTTTTTGGTCAGTTATTCAGCTGGAGTTGGGTAACTTATGCTAAAGGAAAATTTGGTTAATAACTCAAGGTTTTGTGGAAAAAATGGGGGAGGTATGTATATTATTAGTTTAGATCTGCATTTCCAGCTTGGCATTTTGCCAGATTTTCTTGTTCACATCACTTGTAACATTTCTTCTTTGGTATAATACAGACACACAATTTTTTTTCATAATAAAACAATCCACAAATTAGTGTTCATATTAGAGAAAAATTTGAATATTTTGGTTTATTATTTAATCACAGTATAATTTGAACAAGTTCTTTTTTAAAAAAAATATTTATTTATTTTTTTTAGGTGTAGATGGACACAACATAATGCCTTTATTTGTATGTGGTGCTGAGGACCGAACCCGGGTCCCGCCCGTGCTAGGAGAGCGCTCTACTACGCTGAGCCACAATCCCAGCCCCAAGTTCATTTTTAATATTCCCCACATCTTAGTTTCCTGAAATATATAATTGAGGTTACAGTACCCATCCTATAGTGTTTTTAGTACTACAAGCAATAATATACATAAAGCATGTAGCAATAAAATACCTGGTAATAGTATGTGCTTCACAAATATTAGTTCCTTCTTCTCTCTCTCCCCACATCACTTCTTAAAACAATTCATGACTTTAGTATCTCAAGAAAGATCCTCAGGTTAGATACAGTGGTGTATACCTGCAATCCCAGCTATTCAGGAGGCTAAGGCAAGAGGATCAAAAGTTTAAGGCTAGCCTGGGCAACTTAAGGAGACCCTATATCAAAATAAAAATTAGAGAGAAAGAGAAAAAGCCACAGAAAACTTTTTTTGGGAGGGGGGAATTAGGTAAAACCACATTGGTCTTTCTGGCATGTGTTATATAAGAATGTGTCTTTCAGGCTTGTTGAAAGTGTTGCTAAATCCTAAAATTTTTCTATTCACTAACAATATTTTAATAAAAACTTTTAAACATTTTTTTCGTTGATATAAAATATTTTTAAGAAAAATAAAATGCCTTTGTATTACCTGCTTTTTCTAAGTTACTAATTTCCCCACTACCATGATTAATTGAAATTAACTTTGTCTTGTTTTAATTAGGAGTCTTTTGACTTGTAAGCAGAATGAATACTTTACTCATAATCCGCTTAGAGTAAAAATAGGCTTCACTGGATTATTTGAGGGAAAGCCCAGATGATATCCTCAGGTCTTGGTTTCTTCTTACTTCTCAGCTATCCCTTAAGCATTGGCTTCATTTTAGGCTCCATTTGATCATTTCCCCCAAAGCTCTAGGCAGTTTTCCTCCCTGTTCAAAGTGAAAAGGGAGTGAACTTCTCTTCTAGCAGTCCCAAGTAGAGTTCTCTATGTAAGGCTGTATAACCTGATTGAGTTATAGCACTATTGGTAAACTGTTTGCTCCCATCAAACAAGTACTGTGCTCATCTCCTTTCTGGATCCACAATAGAAATAATTTATGGGCTGGGTGGATTTCCAGAGAAACTTTAGGTATTTTTTCCCCCTTCAAAAGAGGGAGTGATGGATCTGGGATGATGAAAGACAAGTGTCTACTACCTTTTTCCATTTTATCTTTTTTTTTTTTTAATATTTATTTTTTAGTTGTAGTTGGACATGATACTTTTATTTTATTTGTTTTTATGTGGTGCTAAGGATTGAACCCAGTGCTAGGTGAGCACTCTATCACCGAGCCACAACCCAACCCCTCCATTTTATCTTTAGACCCAGTGATAGTGAGATGTACTTAGTGAATATTCCTATGTGCCTAGATCATTAGAATCTTTATTTATTTATTTTTAATATTTATTTTTTAGTTATCGGCGGACACTACATCTTTGTTTTGTATGTGGTGCTGAGGATCGAACCTGGGCCGCTCGCATGTCAGGCAAGCGCGCTACCACTTGAGCCACATCCCCAGCCCCCATTATAATCTTAAATGTTTTTTTTTTTTTTAATTCAGGAAATTCATTTAAGAAAATAGGGCTTAAGAAACCATGTCATCTATATCTAATTTTCTGAACTGATCCTTAGATTGATAAACTTTTATAGATAACAGGTGAAGAGTTCTCATGTTTGTGATACTTGACAGAGATAATTTTATGATTTTTAGTCCTGAGGGAAGTTACACTGATGATGCAAACCAAGAAGTCCGTGGACCACCGCAACAGCATGGTCACCATGAGTTTGATGACGAATTTGAGGATGATGACCCCTTGCCTGCTATTGGACATTGCAAAGCTATCTACCCTTTTGATGGTATGATGTTCTTATTATATTTGATAAAAGTTACTTAAAAGTCTAAGTGCATTGTGACTTATTTTATTTAGTGTCCTTAGCTGAATAATACATTATCAGAAAATCATAACTCCAGTTCATTAATATGTATACTTGTTTAAATTGTTAATTTTTTCCACACTGGAGTTGAAAGAGAATTACCTATTATTAGCTCCTAATTTAGGTTATTATCTGTCAACTTTGGTTGATAACAGAATATCCCTCCAGAACTTACCAATCTTTAGGTATACTGAACATAGTTGAAGCAGCTTGGCATATAGCCCAAACTAGGAAGTAGATGGCTGATAGATGTCACTTCATGTTCCTTGTAGTTGATAAACATTGAGAGACAGGTGTAAAGCATAGTTAAATGCTGTCATCATATCCTGATTGCAGGCCACCTTTTCAGGTGAAAGCTGGAAAGAAAGTGGTAGCTTCTGACAATACCATCTCTTCTATGATAGTTGGAAATAAATTCTGTGAGGGGAGTAAGGCTTTTTGGCTTTCTACCACAGGTTTTTAGTTATCCTTCCTAATTATGGACCCTGAAAAATCCTTGAATTAACAGAAGAGCAGAGTAACACCTTCCTAAATAAGTTGTAAAATGATAGGTGATGTAAGGTCTTTCTTCACCCACTCATTGTGTTGATTTTGAAATTGAGTAAAGGGGTTGGGAATGTAGTTCAGTGTTCAAGTGGATGCCTATCATATTTGAGGACCTGGGTGTGATTCCCAGTATAACTAAAATATAATATAATAACATAATCTCTTTAGTTACTCCTCAATTCTGAGCAAATTATTATATTTGAGAGCTTTCTAATGCATTCTAAGAGTAGGGGAGGATTTTAGCATATGTTGAATGAGAATTCTACTTATGAATACTGTTATTGCTAAGCATATTGGGAATGGTTTAGGGTAGGGAAGAAAGGGAATCCTAAAATTGATGAGGTCTTGAAGTTTGTGCTTTGGGGTTATTCTGCTTCTACATCACCATAGTTAAATCTCTGTTTTTCTCTGTTCTCTTTAAACTATATCCTTTTTCTTTTCCCACCTTCTCACTGTTTTGTTACTACTTTCCTGAACCATGCCTCATGAATTTTTGATAGCAACACTACTCAAAAGCAGGAAAGAATTATTTCATTTGTTACATAGGGATAGTATTAGTCCAGCCTCATAGGTTTTTGTGTAGTACAAATGAGAATGTGTGTGAAAGTGTTGGATAAACTACAAAACATTATAGAAATATTGTTGCTAATGAGAATCAGTGAGCTCATGAGCAGGTATATTGAAATCTAGTAGGATTTCGTATGTTTTGTGTATTGTATTTATAATTTTTATTACAAATTATCACTGTGCTTAAATTATGCTTGTGCTATGAAAACTCTCATCTAGGTCATAATGAAGGTACTCTGGCAATGAAAGAAGGTGAAGTGCTATACATTATTGAGGAGGACAAAGGTGATGGATGGACAAGAGCCAGGAGACAGAACGGTGAAGAAGGCTACGTTCCGACATCATACATAGATGTAACTCTAGAGAAAAACAGTAAAGGTGCAGTAACTTATATCTAAACTAACCAGGCAGCTTTGTGCTATGTATGACATAAACGATATGACATAAATGAAAACACATTCAACAGGTCAGAAAAAATGAGAAAACCTAAAAGGGCATCCCAATTTATTGTTCACTGTGTGAGCTGAATGCAGGCTTAAGAGATGTGAATATCACCACAAAAAGCTGTTTTTGTGATGCCTTCCTGTTTGAGTAATGTTGGTGTGAAGCTTAATTGATGCCTTTGCTTTATGTCGTGCTTAAGTCTCTGTGAAGGATTTGTGTTTTTCTGCCTTATAAATATAGAATTTGGCTTATTGGGCAGGAATGCATAGGTTGATGCTCCTCCATCTGCTTTACTTCAGAAAACACAGTGATTGGTGAATTCACATAAGTAAAACTGCTCTGAAATGATATAGAAAACTGACTTACGAAAGAGTAGTTTGTTGTAGGTGTTTGAATTTGTAGCTTCAGTATTTAGGGAAAAAAGTAATAGTTAGAAAATTGGGTAAAATGATAACAATCATTTTAATTTTCCTCTCTATTCTTAATGTTGGTTTCCTAAAGGAAGAAAATAAGCACTTAGTGCATAATCTAAGTAGTGAGCTAATCAAGAAATCTATAAAATGTATGATCTGGTCTAGCTCTCTCTTCCTCTTTTTTTTTTTTTTTTTTTTTGGGTGATACAAGGGATTTAACCCAGGGCCTCTTGCATGCTAGAGTGCATTCACAGTTCTTGCTTTGTTTTATTTTGAGACAGGGTCTCACCAGCTTGCCCAGGCTGGCCTTAAATTTGTGATCCTCCTGTTTCAACCCGCCAAGCAGCTAAGATTACAGGCATGTGCCACCGTGCCCTGCCTAGTCTAGCTCTTATCTGAATAAAACAGTTTTAAGATCTGAAAATATTTTCAGATTTACTGGTAATTTTCAATAATGCACAAAATTCCTTCCAAATTAATCTTATACTTGTGTTTTTCATCTTGAAAGTGGTTTGTGGGGAATATCACTTTAGTGATTATTTAGCATTTAGCAGGAAATAAATATTCTAAATCAGTGAAGATAGAGGAAATCTTGAATGGAGAATTAATGGCAATGTTTACTTGTAGAAGAGAGAAAACTTTTTTGACTGAGCTGAGGGAAGATATCTGTACTACCATTTATGGCCTCATTTTAGCTAGATCAGCAGTTACTAAAATAGATTTTTTTCCAATTAATTTCAATAAGCATTTGTTGGAAACACTGTACAATTAAGTATTGTGTGTGCTAGTCATGTGATCACACCCTGAATTAATTGTGTGGGTAAGCAAAGGGAGAAAGCAATGAGATGGGTCCTTGATTTTGCTCATATTTCACATTTTCCTGGTGTTTTCAGTGGCTGACTATAAAATGATTTTTAGAGACGTTTGGGGCAGACACTTTAAGCTGAACACCCCTTTTGGTCTTACCAAAGGTCTTCAGTAATTCTTCTTTTCTTTTTCCTCCTGGACTGCAGGTTCCTGAAGAGGGTTTCTGAGGAAATGGGCAAGATGTTGAAGGAGGTTACATGCAGCTGCTTTTGGGGGGAGGGTATTAGAGTTGTCAGGCACAAAGAGTGAGAGAAGCAAGTTGCATGAGTGCATGCAGACATGATTTTTTTTTTTTTTTTTACTAACTTCGTTAGCATTCCATACATTGTTTTAAAAATTTGTTATAATACCAATCCTTAAATTCCTAGTTCACAGTTATTAACATAGAAGAAAGAAAAAAGCCAATAATGGCTGACCCTTTTCCATTTATTTTACTGGCGTGTCCAAATCACAAAGAGTGCAGAGCTGTCATAAAAATTTGTCTTATATTTGATTGTCTCAATAAGACTGTCTCCACCCAGCTCTGTTTTAATTGCTTTTTAGACCCATTGTCTGTTAGAATTCTTGCCATGTGTCATTGTCTGCCTGTGCCATCTCCATGCTTGCTTAACATCCTGTTGCATGTCCAGAGTGATTAGACTTAGATTTTTCAGGCATGTCTTTATAATCCCTTGTTCATGTCAAAGCCTTTGTTTTGTTTTACATTTGTAGTGCAGATCATTTTGTCAAACATCTCCAGCACTAATGTTTCCATCTTAGTATTTGTGTAAGCTGCTACAACTTCCCCACTGCAAACATTCCAATTTTGGCATTATGAAGACGTGGTCTGTGAACCTGAAGTATTTATGATAAGAAAAAAGAAAACATCTCTGCTCTAGCCTACAGCCCAGTTGAAAGGACTCTTTGAAAAGTGATACATCTTCAGCACCTCAGTCTGGGAAGAATCTATAGTCAGCACTGAAGTCCTGGCATAATAAACACAGAAGATACCACCTCAAGACAAAGGACTGTTGTCAAAAGTCAGCTGCTTCCATTCAAATGCTGCCTTAAACTAGAGTGCCTAAATCTGTTGATTGCCAACACTACCACTACAGTATCCCACAAAGGGCTTTGTGTCAGCTCAGTGTGACCTCCTTTAACTCTGCAGCTCTGCTGCAGCTGCCGATGTAGCCTCGGTAGATAGCTTTTAGAGCTCTACCATGTACAATGGTGCATCTTCAAATTTATGCATCAAACTAAAGACATGTCTGAAGTCCATTTTACTTAGTGTTTTATGAGAAGTTTTATGAACCTCCCCAATCGTCTTTTAATTTGAGGTTATAATGATCTCATTTGGTTATTGCAATGATAGTCTGTTTGCAAGTGATACTTTTGTTTGAATCAGATAAAATTTAGTGAAACTTTGTAATGATCTATGTGCACTTTTACTTGTAAAACGGAAATTTCTGTATGTTTATACTTGTAAATATAATTGTCCTTAGTGTCCCTATTGCTCATGTTGTCATGCCTCGCATTTGTGATTCTGTTATTGACTTGTATCTGAACTAATTTCTTAGTGATGTTGTACTAGGGAGATGGGTGGGTGGGGAGTTATTTGTACCACTGAAGCTTCATTAATTTGGTTCTTTACTGTTTTGAGGGGAGAAATAACGTGAAATGGTTTGTGTATTATTGGATTTTAAGCAATATTTTAGAAGCTGTGTGACTGCTTTAATAAAATTTTCCCAGTGTTATTTGAATCATACTACCAGTTACACTAAAGCTGAATGACAATTGTGTGAAAGTTAATGCCTTCCTAAGATCAAGTACACCACTGTTACACAGCTGACATAGTGTATTACCTTTGAGGCTAGTAAACTATAAACTTTAGATATTGAATCTCGTTACAGGGTTATTTATATAATGTGACATTATTCAATACTGACGGACTACATGAAGTAGTTTTAAAATCTAGTGCTATTTTTATTTTAAAGGTTAGCAATGAGAAGGAAATGTGATCTGGCTGTGTTTGTCTTCTGTACAAAGCCTGCAGTGCTTATGTTTTTTTGGCTAACAGCCACAGAGGGCAAAGTTTAAGGCTTTCTTGTAAGGACTAACTGTTCTTTTGAAGCTACTGTTTGTTTTTCTAAAAGCAGAATTTGCTTCCGAAGGAGGCAGGTTCCTTCATGTGGAATAGTGCAACCTGTATATGGGTTATTACAATAGGAAAGACATTTGTACTTGCACAGTTTAAATCATTATTAAATCATTCTTAAATTTTGAACATGTGAATTGTCCAAAAGAAATCTTTAAAATTTTCAGTAATTTTTACTCTTTGTGCACATGTTGATTTCTTAATGGTAAATTGTTTAAGATAGTGTTCTCTGTTGAGAATATTTTCATGGAATAAAACAATCTTTTCAAGGTCAGTTAAGTTGTATCTTTCTTTGGTATGTGAACCAACAAGATGTGATGATTTTGTTCTTCAGTGTGCTAAATTTCAAAAAATAAGTTCTTGAAGTTGGGCGACATTTTTGGAAAGCAGTTTCAGAAATTTTATTCTTATCTTAGTTTCAAGTTTTCTCCAAAGAAAGAATAAATACTACTACTTTAGAGTTATTAAATGCATGTAATAATTTATATTTGTTCAACAGTAGCCACATTGCACAGACTTTGCTTTTATACCATTGTATCCTCTCTCTGTATACCAGCTGTCCCTGGACTGCATAGCTTGATCTAGCCACCACACTTGAAGCTTTACTATGCTTTTTTTTTTTTTCTTACTATGCTATTTACTATGCTTCTGCTTGTTTTCAGTCAGGGAGAGTACCCATGCTTCCTGGCATTTCTGAACACGGAAGAGAATGTTTGCCATAATTAGTCACAAATTATCTGTAACTTTTAAAAATTTAATTTCAGAAGAGTCACCTAGTCATGTAAACTATGACTGCAAACTTTTGGTAACCCAAAAAGGAAAAACTCAGGGTAGATCTTGAACAGTGAGAGGTTATAATTGTTAAGATGAATATTTAGAGATCAAGGCCAAGCTTGGAAGTAAGGACATACAACAATGAAAGTAGCAGGAAAGTAGTGTCGTCAAATGTTGTAGTTTTAGGCAAATGAGTCTGGGGGAAAAAAGAAAAAAAGCAGCAATGGCTGCTCAAGACCATGAAAAAGGCTTCTACCTATCTGAAGTAAGTTTGAGAAAATAAATATTGCTTGCTAGGGAAAGATAAAAGCCTTATGATAAAATCAACAAAAGGAAAAGGAACCCAGACTTGTTAAAAAAGAATAGTCACTGTCAGCAGTTAGGAAACTATAGAACATAATTTTGGAGAACAATTCTGGGAAGTTTAACAACCTTAAAAATACTAGAAATAGGATCATTTAGAAGAAAATATAATGAGCAGTTAACCTAGGTTCCTAGGGATAAGTCATGTCAAATTAGCCTTATTCCTTTCTTTAGCTGCAAATGGGGGATTCTAAGGCATAATGTCTTGATTTCAGCACAGTTTCAATTTGTCAAGATTTCTCACTACTTGTAAGATGGTTATAGTACTATGTAGAGAGTTGGGGCTATGACAAGTTGATTTGGTAAACCCAGAATGTCAACACTAAGGAGAATTTCTTGTGGAAATTGTGTATAATAAACAAATCTGTCACCCAACTGTGCAAATGGAAAATTGCCATCTCCTCTTTCAAGAGTAACCATTATCTTGAATTTTGTGTGGTTTTTTTTCTTGGTAGTTTTGCTACATGGGGATTTATTTTTTTCCTTAGCCTGACTAGCTTTCCTTATATTTGAGCTCTGTAAGAATAATGTCTGTAAAGATTGTTGAGCAGGGCTGATATTCGGCCATTGCATCCTAATGTATTGTCATAGCAAATGCTAAATGTCAAAATACTTCATACTGGTTGGTAAAAGTAGTAATTTAGAAAAGTAGTGAAATGGAAATCATACATGATAAAAGCATTTCTGATGGGAGCACTGCAGATAAAGCTAAAATGGTTTACTATAGAAACTTATTCTGTGTGGTGAAGAGTGGCCCACCTTGTGCATTCAAGGTGTGAGAAGAGGAACTGTTTTCTATCTAGAGGAGAGTTCTGCAAATGACAGCACCATAATTGCTATGTCCTCCTTCTCTAGGCTGGTCTCTAGACGGCAGTATCACATTTGTCAGCCTTTCTCTTCCTTTCTTATTTGTATCCTTTTAATTTTCTTTTCCTGTCTAATTTTCTAGCTAAAAATCAAATGCTGTATTAAATAGAAGTGTTGAGAGTATACATCCTTGTCTTGTTCCTGATTTTAGAGGGAATGCTTTCAGTTTTTCCCCATTCACTATGATATTGGCTTTGGGTTTGTGGTATATGGTCTTTATGATGTTGAAGTAAGTTTATTCTGTCCATTTGGCATATTTTTATGAATGGGTGTTAAAAATTATTGAAGATTTTTTCTGCATCTATTGAAGACTTTATGATTTTTGTCCTTAATTCTATGTGGTAAATTACATTTATTGATTTGTGTATGTTGATTCATCCTTGCATCCTAGGAGGGAAACCAGCTTGGTCATGATATACAATCTTCTTAACCTGTTGGTGAATGTTTTACTAAGGATTTTCACAATTATGTTCATTGGGGATATTGGTTTGTAGTTTTCTTTCCTTGATGTGTTCTTGTCTGAAAGGTGATATTGGTTTCAAAAAAATGAATTTGGAAGTGTTCTTCTCCTTTCTATTTCATGGAATAACTTGAAGAACATTGGCATTAGTTCTTTAAAGGTCTGGTAGAATTCAGCTGAGAATCCATCTGGTCCCAGACTTTTCTTCTTTGGAAGACTTTTTTTTTTAATGTGGTGCTGGGGATCGAACCCAGTGCCTCACACATGCTAGGCAAGCACTGTACCACTGAGCCACAACTCTGCTCCTAGAAGAGTTTTTATTACTGCTTCCATCTCATTGCTTAGTATTATTTGTTTGTTTAGGGTTTCCTATGTCCTTTTGATTCAACTTTGGCAGTTCATATGTGTCTAGAGATGTATCCATTTCTTCTAGATTTTCCAGTTTATTGGAATATAAGTTTTCCAAATAGTTCCTAATAATCTTCTGTAGTTCTCTGATGACTGGTGATTTCTCCTTTTTTATCTCTAATTTTATTAATTTGGGTCTTTTTCTTTTGGTGCATTTGGCTAAAGGTTTATCAATCATTTATCTTTTTAAAGAATCAACTCTTTATTGACCCTTTGTATTTTTTTTTTTTTTTAAGTACCTGGGATTGAACCCAGAGGCACTTTATCACTGAACCACATCCCCAGCCCTTTTATTTTGGGGGGACAGGGCTTACTAAGTTGAATAAGGCCTTGCTAAGTTGCTGAAGCTGGCCTCACATTGTGATCCTTTTGTAATCTCCGACCTTCCAACTGAGATTACAGGTGTGTGCCACTATGCCCAACTTCCCTCTCTATTTCATTGATTTTAACTCTGATCTTATATTCTTTGTTCTACTGATTTTGAATTGTTTTTCATTTTTTAGGGGCTTGAAATGCACTATTATATTGTTTGGTTGAAGTCTTTCTGGTTTTTTTAAATACAGGCACTCATAGCTGTAAACTATTTTCTTAGCACTACTTTCATAATGTCCCAGAGATTCTGATATTTCTAACTCTATTCTGCTGTGATTGTAAGAATTTTTAAATTTCCCCCCTGATTTCTTCTATCACCTGTTTATCATTCAAGAGTGTAATGTTCAATCTTCTGTTTTTAGTTTCTGTAGTTTTTCTTGGTGTTGATGTCTAATTTCATTGCATTGTGATCTGGTAAGATGCAAGGAATCTTTTTTTTTTTTTTGGTGGGGGAGGGTACTTTCTAGGAGTTGCTTTGTGACCTAAAATATGGTCTATTTTGGAAAAAGTTTCATGAGCAGCTGAGAAGAAAGTGAATTTGGCTGTTGTTGGATGAAATATTCTATAGATGTCCGTTAGATTTGATTTGATTTGATTTATACTATTGTTTAGGTCTGGGGAGCTTTGCTGAATTTATGTCTGGATGACTTACCAATTGGTCAGAGAGGTGTGTCAGAATCATCCAGTATTATTGTATTTGGGTCTGAGTCATTCATTTGAGTAATGTCTGTTTTAATGTAAATTAGGTGCACCAATGTTTGGGACATAGATATTAATGATCATTATATCTTCTTGTTGGATTGTTCCCTTTACCAGTATGAAGTGACTTTGTCTCTTCTGATGAATGTTGGCTTGAAGCCTGCATTGTTGGATATGAGAGTAGTCACTTGCTTATTTTGGAGCTTCCTTTGCATGGAAAATGGTTTTCCATGCCATTTTCCATGCAATATCATTTTCATTTTCAACCTTTGGCTGTATTTGCTTATAAGAAGAGCCTCTTTTAAACAGTATACAGTTGAGTCTTGGTTTTTGATCCATTCTGCCATTTGCATTCATTATTGTTATAGAGAAATGCTTATTAATTTCTGCCATTTTGATTTATTTCTAATGTATAATTTGGTTCTGTTTCTCATTTGCTCAGCTACTCTTTAAATGAGATCCATTTGTGAGCTCTGGAGGTTGCTTATTATTTGTACTGTGTGTAGTATTTCTTTAAGTGTTTTCTGTAGTGCAAGCCAAGTAGTTATGAATTCTTTTAGTTTCTGCTTTTCATGGAAGGTTTTATTTCTGCTTTTATTCTGAGGATGACTTTGCCAGATGTAGCAATCTTCGCTGACATTTATTTCCTTTCAGGGCTTAGAATGATGTCTTCTAAGAGTTCTGAAACATCAGAAGTAATTTTGATTGACTTAACTGTAAAAGTGGCCTGACATTTTTCTCTTGAGACTTCTACAATTCTCTTCTTCTGTATTTCATGTTAGGTATTTTAATTATAACGTATCATGGACAGATTCTTTTTGATCTTGTCTATTTGGGATTCTGAATGATGCTTCTTATATCTGGATGTCCATCTGATTCCCAAGGCTTGGACATTTTTCTTTTATTTCCCTGAAGAGATTATCCATGCCATTAGCCTGCATCTCAACAACCTTCAATTCCAGTAATACTTAGGTTGGTCTGAATATTGTCCCAGAGTTCTTGTATATTTTGATCATGGTTTGGTTTCTTTAATACTGTCTGAATATTCAGAGATGGCCACTTTGAGTCTGTTTTTTGCATAGTCTACTAGAGAGACTTTAAACTGAATTTTTATTTACTGTGCCTTTTACTTCCAAGATTTCTCTTCAATTCTCTTTCAGTATCTCTGTTTATTGAATTTCTCATTCATATCCTGTACTGACTTCCGTATTTCATTCAGTTATTTCTGTGTTTTTGGCAACCCATTACTTTTTGATAGCCATTCTTTTGCGTTATCTGATATTTCACCCACTTCAGTATCTTTGGAGTTAGTTATTGACAAATTATGAACCTTAGGAGGTATCATGTTGCCTTGTTTTTCACATTATATTCCTTTGTTGAGATTTCTGCATCTTTTGGGATGGATTTCTAATGTGTTGACTATTTTAGGGCACAGTCTTCTCTTGGTGAAGTATTCTGGGATATAAGGTTGTTGTGAATTGTTCAGTATATTTTCAAGTGGGCTTTGTAATATGGTTTCCCTGGCAGTTCTTTAGTAATGATTAGGTTACTTTGATACAGTATGTGTCAGCACTCGAGGATCCCTCAGTGATGATTTCTTGATTGGCTGGTATTGGGGAGACAATCTGGGTGTGGAATGAGACGCAAAAAATACAAGCTCCCAGTTTCAACGCACTAAGACCAGCTTTTCTCTCTTCCTTTCTCCACTTTTTCTGTGGCTGGGAGGTCCTGCCACTGCTCTGGGCATATAGTCAGCACCCAGAAGGTACTTTGTTCTTGGATGAGAGGAAAAGGTGGGATTGGAATTAGGGGCATGCTCCTTCTCATCAGGTAATATACAGTGCATTAGTAAACTAATGACTATGAATTCATAGGGGAAGTCATTGAAAGTTTCCTGTATGAAATCCTAGGGGCATCATTTACCTTATGACAGCCATAGCAAACATGATCATACTAACCATTTGTTTCAACAAATGATTGGAAAATTATTAGTGGTTCACAAATGATTTGGGCTACTTTTATCACTTTAAAATTTTATAATTAATAAAAAGCTATTTGTTGATTTATACATTTGTGTATTATATACATATTAATTTATTAACAGCCCACTTGTCAAATATTTTGAATTTTTGTTGTGTCTAGAGACTTGTTTCACTCAAAATTGTAAGATTGGCCATGTTTATGCATAGTTCATTTTATTATGTATAGTATTTCCATTATATGAATATACATTTATTCATCTTACTATTGATGAAGATTTGGACTACTTCCTGAATTTTGCTAGTATAAACAATGTTGCTTATGCACATTCACATGTGTGTTTACTGATGTAGCAATTTCTTTAAAGTCTATGTATAGAAGTTGAAGTGCTAATGTATGGGGTATATTAATTTTCTGTTTTAAAAATAATGCCACATTTAGCTCCCAAGGTTATTGCAATTTTTTTTAATGCTCCTACAAGCTTTGTATAAGAGTTAACAGTACTTAAGAGTTAGATTTTTAATTTTTTGTCAGTTGAAAGGATGTAAAATAATTCATTGTAGTTTGAATTTTTATTTCCCTGATTTTTAAAATTTTGTTACCAGGGATTGAACTCGGGGGCACTCTACCACTGAGCCACATCCCCAGCCCTATTTTGTATTTTATTTAGAGACAGGGTCTCACTGAGTTGTTTAGTGCCTTGCTGTTGCTGAGGATGGCTTTGAACTCACAATCCTCTTCCTCAAACTACTATTACAGGCATGCGCCATCACACCCGAGAAAAACTGGGGGTAAAATCTGGCTGTTTCCCAGGTTTTTGATGCTGAGCATCTTTACATGTTTACTGTTTTCTTTTGAAAAGCCTGTTTTTTTTTTTTCCCCCTTTGGTCATCCTCTCTTCATGGGAGTTCTTAATATTAGTAAGGATACTAACTGTATTAGATATTTATTACTGTGTAACATAGCTAGATGGTTTTTAGCTCAGAGTTTCTCACATGATTGCATTCATCTCAAGGCTTGGTGGGAATGAAGAATCCATTTGTAAGATTATTCTTATGATTGTTGGCAGACCTCAGTTCCTTGCTGGCTAGTGATGGAAGGCTTCAGAAGGCTTCAGTTCCTTACCATGTGGAACTTTCCATAGTGTGGCATCTTGTTTTTCCAAATGTGAGTGATCCAAAAGAATGAAAACTCAAGATAGAAGCTACAGTCTTTTTATAACTAATCTCAGGTGTGACATCGATACCTCTGCCCCCATGCTGTTGGTAACACTGACTGATCCTAGTACAGTGTGAGAAAGGACAACACAGGGTTTTATCAGGAGGCAGGGAATATTAAAGGCTTGTTTTGGAGGTTGTGTACTATATTAATTGTCACTTTTGTGTGTTGCTAATATCTTTTTTTACCCCCAGTTTTTCTCTGGTGTATTGGTAAATAGAAGCTCTTTGTTTTATTTATTTTTTTCTCCAGTGTTTTGTTTTTTGTGGGGGTATAGGGTACCAGGGATTTAGAGACAGAATCTCACTGAGTTACTTAGCACCTCCCCATTGCTGAGGCTGGCTTTGAATTGATCCTCCTGTCTCAGCCTTCTGAGCTGCTGAGATTACAGGTATGCGCCATTACACCCAGTCAAGAAGCTTTGTTTTACATATTGATTAATCCCTCATAGCTAATGCTTTTTCTAATTTAAGAAATTGTTGATTCAAAAAGATATTCTGCATTATAAAAGTGCTATGATTTTTCCTTCCACATGTAGGTTTATAATTTGTCTAGATTGTATTGTGGTTTTATGAGGTAAAGAATCATTTTTTTTTCCTCCTTTCATTTGTTTAAACAGTCATTTAAGAATTTCTTATTGTAGAAAATCATCCTTTTCTCCACCAATCAGCAGGATCACTTTGTCATCACATGTTTTTCTAATGACAGTTTCTTAATTTGAACTGTAGCTTAATAGTGAGTTTTTATATCTGGTAGAATATAAATATATATACACATATGTTTATATATAAATAACGTAGTAACACTCCCATCTGGGAACCACTATAAATCAATTTCAGTTTGGTTTTAATTTTTGTAAATTTTACTCCAGACCTGTATGAGGACAGACTTGTGGTTGTAATCTCTTACTGAAGACTATTATAATTATTTCTTTCTTGGAGTTATGGCCATACATGAAGACAAGCATGTTTGATTGTGCAATGTTTAATTTTAGGTGTCAGTTTGACTGCATTAAGGGATACCTAGAGAATTGATAAAGCACTATTTCTGAATGTATCTCTAAGGGTGTTTCTGAAAGAGGTTGCCATGGGACTTCTCAGTCCCAACAGTTGTGTAAGCAAATTCCTCTGTTTCATAGCTATGTTCATGTTAACTATCATTGGTTCTGTCTCTCTGGAGAACCCTTATTCCTGGTGACCTTCCTTTGTTGGTGGATGGATTTTTTTTTCCTCATCCCATTAATAGGAACTGTCAGGATTTCTGTTGACTTGGGGGCTTTTCACATTCAGCTTTCCCAAACAGTCTCCCATTTGTTGAACTGACATGCCTCTAGGTCTACCTAGGTTTTTAGGTTCTCTGACAGATTTACTGTACCTTTTCAGGGTGAGTCAGGGAGGGAAGGCATGTTCTTTGGGGATTTCTTTTTTATTCTGTCAAGCTCAACATTATAGTAGAAGGTATGTTTATTAACATTATCAGCATTTTGTTTTAGTTCGAGGGCTAATAGCATCTGAACCACCATATTGCCAAAAGAAATGTACTTAGTTTTTTCTTACCCCAGTAAATAAAAAAGTGTGATGGTATTTTTTAAAATGTGGGGAAGGGGGCTTTATGATTGTAGGCCACATTAAGGAAAATAGTACAAGGTTTGAAATTAATATTCCCACTGCATTAAACAGATTACAATGAGGGTCTCATGCTTGGTTCTAGATAGAGTATAATATCTGTAACCAACAAATCATGTTTTCAAAGGCTATTTAATATAGTAATTTTCACAGCTTGTGAAAAGATGGACAAAAGTTAGTATAGCCCCAGTATTATTTACAAGGAATAAAACAATGTTTGACAGTGGCAGAATGACAGAATATTTTAAAATATTGTGTTCTGAGTTTTTTACAATGGGAAAAAAAATGAGAGGATACTGACAAACTAGAAAATATCCCCTTTGGGAGTCAGAAAGCTAGGAAACTTGGGGCTGGGGATATAGCTCAGTTGGTAGAGTGCTTGCCTCACATACACAAAGCCCTGTGTTCAATCCCCAGTACCACAAAAAAAAGAAAGCTAGGAAACTTGTACTTATTAGCTAGAGGAAATAGCAGTTCATATGTTACTTTAACAAATTCTTAGTTGATTCAAAGAAAAATATGACATTCTGAAAGTGTTACTCTTTTGCCTTTCACATATAGGTTTGCCAAAGTCCACTAGCAAGCACCAGAGCTCAAGTTTGAACCTCGGTCTTTTGGAGCCAGTACTTACTTCTTGTATCACTACTCTTCTGTCTCCTAAAACAGAAACCTTAAGTTTTTCATGCCATTTTTGTTAATTCTTATTCACTATTGGGATATAGTGGCTAGTCGGCAAAGTGCATTCTGAGGTCAGGAGATAGAATTCATCATATTATGATGAGTTGTTTAATATTGAAGAGACTATATACAACGATTTCACAAAAAAGATATATTTTCATTCATGACTATTTACATTTTTCACATTTAGTTGAAGAATATCATACAACTGATACCTCTGAAATGTTTCAGGCTTTTCTTTTAAACACTTCTATTTACACTTATGTGACATGGAATTCAAACTAAAATGGTCAAATGCTGTGGTAATAGAAATCAACCAGCCAACATAGCTAAGTCTTCTCTTAAATTTGTTGATCAATGTTAGCAATAGTTACCTTAATAATAAATTATCATTCATTTAAAAATCAGTAGTAATTTTAAACAACTCATAAATAAGTGTGCTCTGTGCAATTTATACATTTAATATCCTGTGGATACTAAAGATGTGTGTTTGAGATTTGCACATCATCAGATGAGAAGTTTGAAATAATACCCTAAAGGCTCTCTGGAGAGTTTTCAGAGCTCTGCCTGCTTTACATGAGGTGGTTCCAGTTTACGTGAGAGAGCTATTAAAATCTGGTTGAATTTCTCATATCTCTCTGTCTGATTGACTTCTGCACCTTTACTGCCCCACAGCAATCGCATTTGAAATTCAGTCTTCAAGATTTCAGTCATTTCTTCATCTGGTTGAAAATCTAATCAAAACAATAGAAATAAGTCACTTTAGTCTGCCTAAAAACAATGTTTTAAAAATAACCGAAAACTTTGCTTGTTTAAATAGTACCAAATGAACTTCATCTTCTCTCAGAACTTTAAAAAATGCTCCCAAAGAAAAATGTAGGCTGTACTCATCCACCATCTTCAGAGAATTAACAAGTAAACTCATTAAAACATGACAATGAAATCTATGTACAAGCCACTGTGGGCCATAGTGCTGGGAGGAGTGTTCAGGATATCATATTTTTATTTGTAACAACTATGTAGATGTATAATTTACATATCTCATGATTCATCTATTTTGTGCAATTTGGTTTATGGTAGTAAATTCATAGTTTTAGAACACTTCCCTCACCCTAGAGAGCTCCCTACTACCTTTTTGGAGCCAATCCTTGTTCCCTCCCCAGGCCTCAGCCAACCATTGATTGACTTTCTGTTATTCTTTTGCCTCCTCTAGAAATGACATAAATGGAATTATACACTATGGACTTTTGTCAGGCTTCTTTCACTTAGCATGATGATGGAATTATTACATATGTTGTATATAATCAATCCATTCCTTCTTGTTGAATTGTGAACATATTAGATTTTGCTTATCTATTCACTAATTGATGGACACTTGAATTGTTTCCATTTTGGGGCTACTGTGAATAATGTCAACATTTATGTACAAGTCTGTGTGTGGGCATGTGTGGATTTTTTTTTTTTTTTTGTGGTGCTGGGAATTGAACCAAGGGCCTTGTGCATTCGAGGTGTGTTTTCATTTCTCTAGGAGTGGGAATACCGGGTTACATGGTGAGTGTATGTTCAAAGAAACTGTCATGCATGAATGGTTCTACCATTTTCTGTTCACATCAGCAACATAGGAAGTTTCTAATTTCTCCAACTTGGTTTTGCCATTCTGTTTAATTGTAGCCATTCTTGTGTGGTGGGGTAAATTTACATTTCCCTAATGATTTATGTACTGAAAATCTCATTTGTATATATTCTCTGACATATTGTTTATTTAAATTGAGTTCTTTCTATATTCTAGATTAATGGGGTCAATAGTCAATGTCTCACTGGGGGGCTGCTCTTCTGCCCAGGAGAATCTAAGCCACCCTAAAACTTAAAATCTCAAATAATTAGTGAATAACAAAACGCAAATATTCAGAAATATATTTACAAAAGGCAAAACCCCTGATAGGTCTAGTCCACATGGGTTCTAGAACTAAAGAAAAGATGGCTCCTGTGGTTTATTTCAGGGGGTACATCAAAGGCAGGGATAAGGGTTTAAGGGCGAAGTCTTGCTTGTGATGTCTTACAGTGATCAGGTTGATTGACATCCTGGCAGGTCACACCCATCTCAGATGCTGTGTGGGCCATGGCAGAGGAGGATAGAAATTCATATTGTCCCTGGGCAACTGACCAGAGAAAATGTCCACTGGTCATTCCCAGACACCAGATGTCTCTATCCACTAGGCTTCCATGCATGGTGACCCACATGCAACTCATGGACGGCTCATGACACTAAATATGTCATTTATCAGATATAAACATTTAGAAAGTAGTTTTCTCCTAGTCTGTGTCTTGTCTTTTCACTTAGTTGTGTGTTATGAAAAGCAAAAATTTAAAGTTTTGCTTTATCAGTGTTTCCTATTATGGTTCATGTTTTTTGTGTCCTAAGAAATCTTTGTCTAATTCAAAGACACAAAGAATTTCTTATAGGAGCTTTGTACTTCAGCCCTTAGGTTTTGGGTCCATGATCCATTTTGGACTAATGATTGCATATGGTATCAGGTAAGGATTGAGATAAATTTTTTTGGATGTGCAGGTTCAGTATTTCCAGTATCATTTATTTAGAGATCATACTTTGTCCAGTGAATTATCATGGCACCTTTGTCAAAAATCAACTGACAACCATTTGTGTGGGCTTATTTCTTGATTCTTTGTTATGTTCTAAGAGAAGAGGGAGAGAATTATTAGAAATATTAGATGTGCTCCCACTATCTAGACCATAGGATCTGGATGGTGGAAAGAGCATAGAAGCCCTTCCTGATGATACCAGGATACCTTAGATAACCAACTAATGACTTCTATTCATTGTTAGCAGGCTTTGAGCCTAGGCTGGATGCTGGTGAGCCAGTCTTTGCCTTTACTGAGTTCACATTCACTGCCAGCAATGGGAACTTGAGACAGGATCAACTGAAAAATTTTATCAGCTACCTTTAAAGTAACATACTATAGATCAGCTTCAAGCACACTTTTCTCAAAGCCCATCCAAATATATTGGCTGATATAACATGTAATATACTTATTGGCTAATTTCTGTTGAACTGTGTGCTTTTGTTGAGTCCTACATTGCCAAACTGAGGGTTTTTTTGCGGGGTGGGGAGAGAAACGGGTATGTGCTACTCATACCTACAGCAGATACAGTGCAAGCTGTTCAGTCCCAAATTATGGTTCTGAGACAACAACTTTCTTTTAGAGTGAAATTAATAGGCCTTTCCTGTCCCACACGATTCTTGATTTTGTGGATCAAACTCGGCCCTTGAAGAGTTTTAAAAAATCACATGCCTGTAATTCCAGTGACTTGGGAAGCTAAGGCATTTTCCCTGGTGGGCCACTTCCCACCCCCAAACGTGAGGAAGATCTCACGTTTAAGGCCAGTGTGGGCAACTTATCAAGATAGTGTCTCAAAATAAGATAAAAAATCTGAAAGGGCTAGGGATGTAGTTCAGTGAAGAGTGCTTGCCTAGCATACGCGGAGCCCTAGGTTCAATCCCCAGTGCTACACAAATAAAAGGAAGAGATGTTAGCCATCTCATCTGATGACTGCCTTGGTAAAGCCTTTGTTCCTGCATGAGCTTTCTGTGTTTGGCTCCCAACCTTCCTTCACACAGAAACCAGGGTGATTCACTCAAAAACATAAATCTGACTACGACACCTCCCATGGGCCCACAGTCCCACCTGAAAATCTCTATCACTTCCCCTTCAGCATAGCTGGCTATGTTTACATTAGTCCAAAACCAAGTATGTGGGGTTCCCACTCTTCTCAGGCTCTCTCAAAACTCTGTCCCCCCTCTGATTGGCATCTGTTTTCTGACTATGTTTTAACAATTCATGGAGGTATTTTTTTCTTCTCAAAGTTTTCCTAACATGCTTCCTCTGCCTGCATCTCTGACCAAATTACTTTTCCAAAATGCTTTCACAGTGCACTTACCACCATGCACTGAAATACCCGTTTAATGCCTCTGATCACTGAGGATACCCATTGAACCGGATTGTTGTGCATGTATCCTGTCTGTGATAAATGTTTATCAAGCCAACCAAGAAAGCTGCTTTTTACTGCCATAGTATTTATAAGAAATTCAGTTTATACAACACTCTGCCCAACACTCTCCAGTTTCAAGAGCAGTGTGACTGGGAAGGAATGTAGAAGAATGAAGTCTAGATAAAACTCCACCTCCTTCAATCCACTCACTAAAGGTACTTGTGGTGGGCCTCCTTTCTTGATGCTGTTTATATCACTGTCAGAACACAGAAGGAGAAATGGTACACTTGAGTCATTGGGAATTAAGAGGAAGTACTGATCAATCATACAGGAAATGGAATTCCCATGCCTTAATCTTTCCTCCTTGGTCTTTTTTCCTAATTGAGGGCATCTCTGTTCTTTCATTCCTTCATTGCAATTGCTACATAGAGTGACTTAACAAAAAAACAGCTCCTACCTGCCAGGATCCTCTCCGCATTCATCCGGTAGCTGTCCACAGTCTTGGCCATGAAGCGTGCTGTTGCCAAGTGATTTAGCATAATTTCACAGCTTTGGTCATTTTTCTCCCACATGTCAGTTCCTTCAAAAGTGACAGCCTGGCGCTCCATTAAAGTCACAAGGGGCATCAGCAGTGGGACTGACACATTGTTGGGGGGGACACACGTGGATTCTGAAGAATAAGGAATACAGTTTTCTACGTCATTTGTTGGAAGTTATCAGATTGAGGTGCCTGGTAGCCTGTGTCTGGTTATAGCAATGCAGATAAGCGAGGCTGTCACCTGGTAAGCGCCTTGAGCCAGCGACAGTCCTGTAGACAACAGAGGCCTCATGATATGCTCGACCATACATGGACATGAATGGTGCAACCACTGCTGCTGGCCCTGCCCTCCCCGCTCACCTCTGCCCTCGTGCAGGATCTTGCTGAAGGGCTTCAGCTGCTTCTCGTAGAGGATGGCGGTTTGGGTGTACTGGTGCCTCAGGGCAGTCCATGTTTTTTCTAACCTTGTGATCTAGAAAAAAGAAAGTAGTTGTTTTGAAAAAGGCTCCTTTAAGAAAATTACCATTCTGCTTAAATTTTGCAATCGGTGGTAAATGCACCTGGTAAAACTATTAAAAGCAATTGAAAGGAAAGTGTGGAGAAAAAGTAACCTCTCACCACCCCCTATTCCAAGCTCTAGTGGGCCTTCCCTGAGAGCTCTCTCCAACTGCTTGATTTATGTGTGCCTGCATCTACACCTTTTAAAAAGAAATATCACACTATAGGCATTTTCCTTCCTTGGAAATCATTCCATATAAGTACATAAAGAACAAACAGCCTTATCTTGTCAAACTCCTATAGAATGTTCCACTGTATGGATAAACCAGAGTTCTGTTTCCTTCAGGTAAGTGTTAAACACATTTTGCTATTACTCCAAAGGTTTCACATGTGTGAAAATATCTGGATGATAAATTTTCAGAAGTGGAGCTGCTGGGCCAGAGGGCACGAGTATTAAATGTGGATAGGTATTACTACACATGTCTACCATGGAGTTGTACTGATGTAAGGGTGTGGGAATGAGAGGCAAAGCACTTTAAAGTTGTTTGTTCATAATGTCTGAGGCACACAGAAGACTGCTCAGACCGGGTGATGCCAATGCTCATTCCTCCTTATTTCTTTTGGCCAATGTAGTCAACATCAGCATATGCTACTGACTGAACTGTCCTAAGATAAATGATTCCCCACTCATACCACAAAACCAACAGATCTAAGTGTCTTCAGTTTTCTGCATAATAAGAAAGGGCACTAGTATTTAGGAATAAGAGCCAACACTATGTGAAGTATTTGAAGAATTTCAGTTAATCTTTGCAATGCCTGTGAGGCAGGTATTTTGACCTCATTTTACAGATCAGCAAAAGTCTAGATTAGGTAACTCGCCCTGGTTTCTCAACCGGTCATTGGCATAGCTGAGATTCATCTTAGTCTCACAGAGCGCCCCTATATTCCAAGAGGAAGGTCGACATTGTCACTGGTCTTCCTCTGCCATATTCCATGCTACCCTTTTCTTAAGGGCCCCTCCCAGATGTGGCAGAAGGGCAGATCAGGATGATGATGTGAATGTGACTCCTTGTGGATTTTCCCTGGTGGGCCACTTCCCACCCCCAGCAGTCCCCTGGCTCGCCCCAACCCCTAAATACTCTGGAAAACTGTGACCCTCACTGACACTACTGGAGGGGACAGAATACCTCCAAAATCATGGGGTAGTTTAGGATAAACTTCTAGCTGCTGAGTTTGATGTTATGGACAGCAACCGTGTGATCCCACAAAACATCCCCTTTACCATGCTCTCAGGAAGCTGTGGCTGGAGGGCAGAGCTTTTATACACACAGTGCAGCCTTTTGGCTCAGCTGTCAAATTACAGGTAGTTTTGGATAAGGGAAAATAAATGTGATACAAATTTAAATACCTGAACAAAAAATTATAACCCATTGTCATAGTAGAAATAAGAATGGAAATATGGCAGAATTTCTGTTACATATTTCAAATATGGATCCTAAAAAATTCCAGTGCACCTGAATTATTTAAAGCTCTTGAAATATTGTAATTGATTCCCCCAAAATTTCTGAAGAAGGTGTTAAGTTGTTCCGCTTCCTGCTTTTAAGGTGACTTTGCTTTATTTAAGGAAATTATGATCCTACCACACTGACTTGCAAGACATGTGACTAGCTGTTTCCCTCAGTGGCACTGATGGATTTTCAGTGAGCACCTGGCAGGATTTCAGAGACAATCTGACTATGAAACAGCCAAGCTAACAGACCAGTTACGGTGTTACTAGCTACAGATTTGGCTTGTAGGACCTTAATCTCAGAGTCCTACAAGCATCTAGGGCTTGAAAGAATAGAAAAGGGAAGGAGGCCTTCCTTTAAGAGGGCCTGTTTGCTTTCAAATACAGGTTTCCATGTTTGATACTCATCCCAAAAATCTCTGTCAAGGCAGATAAATTCAAATACCCAATTTTAGCGGTTCTGATTTATATAGCAAGTGAGCCAGAAATCTGAATTTTTAACAGGAGAGTCTGAGGACAATACTTTGAGACAAACCACTCCAGGAATTCTCTGATAGAGGCTCCTCAAAAGCCTTGGTTTCCCAGTCATTACCCCAAACTAGCCACAAACCTCCTGAGCCAGATGAGTGTTATACAACACACTTCAGCCAAATGTTTCTTCCAATGGTTCTCCAGGAACAAGGAGTGTTTGTGAGGATAACTCTTGTTATTGTACATCAAAGTGTGGACTGGCAATAATTATGCACTGTTTTATTTTTTTGATACTGGGGATTGGGTCCAGAGCCTCATGCATGCTAAGAAGTACTCTACCACTGGGTTACATCCCATGTCCACATCTTCAGTCCTTTTTAAAATATATTTATTTTGAGACAGGCTCTCATTAACTTGCTCAGGCTGGTCTCAAACTTGGATCTTCCTGCCCCAACCTCCCAAGTAGCTGGGATGACAGACATGCACCACTGTGCCTGGCTATCCACTGTTTTTATAAACAGCTGGAATACTTAGGACACTGCTCTTGGTTGTCTGCTAATCAAAACAGCTTTCACTAAGATTCAGTTTATCTTTTGAGACTGACTGAAATAGTCTGTGACTTGCCAAGCATAGGAATGCAGACCTCTTTCCAAAACATTAAATACACACATGCCTGAGAGGCCACACAAAGCAAGCGGAAATTCACCTGTGGCATTTCCAGGGCTTTCATGATGGCTGAGAAAGAATAGAGGTCTCCCATGGCATCTTTCAGTTCCACTGCCACCTGGATGATCCTGTTGAGAGTGGCTGCGCGGTCCTCCAAAGTGCCTGTGCAGCCCAGAATGTCCACTGCAATGCCGATGGCCATCGTGTTGTGTCTGAAGGGGAGATCAGTGGTCAGGCTCTGGTCAGGAATAGGACTAGAAGAAAACTACACCAAATTGGCCAGGAATAGGACTGACTTTGTGCCATTTGCTGTCATTGCTGGGATATGTGTTGGCAGGTCAGAGAACTGAACTCAACAGAGACCATACCCCAGCAGACAAGCTGTGCCACTGTCAAGGCCACAGAGGACAAGGAATGTTCATGAGGATAACTCTTATTATTGCACATCGAAGTTGTGTGCATGATGCAGTCAAAAATAAGATGCCAGCAAAGCACAGTGGCATATACCTGTAATCCCAGCGACATGAGAGGCTAAGGCAGGAGGACTGCAAGTTCGAGATCAGCCTCAGCAACTTAGCAAAACCCTGACTCAAAATAAGAAGGGCTGGGAATTTAGCTCAGTGATAGAGTACAATTGGTTCATTTCTTAGTATCACCAAACAAAGAAACCAACCAAGCAAGATGCCCCAACACAGGGTCAAGTTCAACCATGGACTGGGGGTCATGAAGACCTCCTGGGGCAACCGTGTGTGAGAGGTTGAAGGAGACACCATGTCCCCCTAAAACATGCATATACACTGGGAATGTTCCCCTCAGGGAAGCCTGGAGCCATCGTCACTGAGCACCAGGATAGGGGAACAGAAAGGTCAAAAAAATGAGATATGCTTGAAAATGACATGGGTATCAGAGCAAAGAAATGAGAGAGGAGCTAGGAATGGTGTTCTGTAGCCCTGTCAAGAGGCCACGAAGTGAATGGAGATGGGGACATAGACGGAATAGCTGAGAGGCAGGAATTTGCCTATTAAATCAAACCCCATCCAGGCACAGGGCCATAAAGGCTAAGGCAGGAGGATGGCAAATTCAAGGCCAGCCTCAACAACTTAATGGGACTCTGTATCAAAATAAAAAATGAAAAGGGGTGGGCATATAACTCACTGGTAAAGCATCCCTGAGTTCAACCAAAAAAAGAAAAAGAGGGAGAAAAAAATAAAAGATCAGACCCTCAAAAAATAAAAGTCTTATTTTCCTTTCTCCTCCTGAACTACTTGGGTCAAAACTCAGACTCTGAAGGAAGCAGAGTCGTCTTTACATAACAATGGGATGGATATGAATGGGGTCAGTGGGTGGCAAGGAGCACAGATTATGACCCCCCCCCCCTTTCTTTCTCTCTGAACCCAGGAGTTCATTGCATTGGGCCAGAATTGCCTCAAATTTTTTCCAGGCTGGAGGTCAAGCCCCACTTTATAGCTATGGTTACTAAAATACACATGCCTTTAGAACTCCCAGGCTGTGCTATCCTGAAAGTTCACAGCTAAAGGTGTTAACTCCATGCCCTGCTCTGTGTGTGCCTGGGTGTGTTGGTCTCTCTCTTGCCTTCCTTGAACAAAGGGCAGTAATGTCCAGCATCACTAAATAAGCAATGACCTCCTGCATCTCCAAGTGTTTATACATAAGTGTGCATGGTGCTAACTTGTGACATGACTTTACACTGGTACTGAACTGCTTGGCTCCTCAGTTTCTTCAGATGTAAAATGAGAGCAAGTGTTGGGAGAGAGAGGCTGCGTGGGTATAAGAATAACAAGCACCTAATGAATAGTCCTTGTTACCACCGTCATCTTTATTTGTATGTCTTCTCTCCCTGGGTGTCCTGTCTCTGTTTCTTTCCTTTTTCCCATCTATCTTCTTTTCCTAATTTCTTTTTCTTTTTCCAGGGCTTCACATAAGCTAGACAAATGCTCTACTACAGAAGTAATCCCCAGCCCTTTTTTATTTTGAGATAAGGTCTCACTAAGTTGCCCAGGCTGGCCTTGAACTTGAGATCCTCCTGCCTCAGCCTCCTCCAAGTCATTGGGTTTAGAGAGGCATGTGCCACTGCACTCAACTCAGGCTCTCCTTTAAGGCCTGGTGTTGCATCCCAGTGGTACCCTTCTTGGGTACCACTGGGCGGTGAATGACTCAGGATGGCAAGTCTGTAGCATCCGCATCAATAATCAGTGGCAGGAGGCAGTCAACCATTACATGAAGGACATTTCCAGTTCAGTGTGCCCATAATAAGCAAGATAGTAAATTAAAAAATAAACGTGGTTTTCTATTTGATTTTCAAAGGCGAGTAATATCATTTGACAGTTCAGGACCCCAATGACCTTGGCCTTTAGTGACACGCTGTAATTAATCAAACCTCTCCTGACCTCTGTAGAAAGATTCCATAGGTCAGTCTTGAACAGGAAACAAGCTAAGGAGCCAGGCCTTGGGCAAGAAGCAATTGGGGGAATAAAGAAATGCTACCAAGGACTGGGGCTGTAGCTCAGTGGCAGAGCGCTTGTCCAGCATGTGTGAGGCACTGGGTTTGATCCTCAGCACCACATAAAAATAAAGGCATTCTGTCCATCTACAAGTACCAAAAAAAAAAAAAAAAGAAAGAAAGAAAGAAAAGAAAAGAAATGCTACCAAGAATGAAAGTGAGAAAACAGTCAAGGAGAACCCCGATCCTGGGCTGCTCTGCTGCTTGCATGTCCCCGCACACTTCAAATTACTCATAAAAGGAGGTTCAGATTCATTAAGCCTGGAACCTGGAGGAACTTTCAAGCTAAATGTTTCACATGAGAAATGGGGAAATGAGACAGTGACTGCTGAGCCCAACAACAACAGAGGGGGGAGCCAGGCATGAGCAGGAAGGCAGCTAGAATCTAGAAGCCTGATGTGGAAACGCAGGGCAGTTCAGAAGTCCTCAAAGCTAAAGCCATAGGTATGGCCTGGGCCCTTCCTCACCTCTGATCTCACAGTCCAGTATCCTGGGTGTTTTCTAGGTGTTCAGCAACAGCTCTGAGGCCAAAGCAACTGTTGCACTTGGGTTGCCTTACCAGCTTTTTTGTGTTGGTTACCTGGGATTGAACTCAGGGGCACTAGACCACTGGGCCACATCTCCAGCCCTATTTTGTATTTTATTTAGAGACAGGGTCTCACTGAGTTTGCTTGGCACCTCATTGTTGCTGAGGTTGGCTTTGAACTTGCCATCCTCCTGCCTCGGCCTCCGGAGTCACTGCTATTACAGGCGTGCAGCACCTGGCAGTCTTACCAGCTTTACTAGCCACATTAGCTTGAAAGCAGCTCTACGGAGCCCCTGAAGCTTACCTGAAATGTAGGGTTAACTTTCTAGGGGCTTATGTCTGCTGGCTACATGTGGCAATCTGACTACAACTAGTAAACATTTTCATTGCTCAGCCACACAGCTGTGTTTCAGGTGCCTGACAGTCATATGTGGCTAGTGGCTATTTTAGTGGCCAGTGCAGATAAGAGCATTTCTGTCACCATAGAAAGTTGAACGGAACAGTGCTGTGACTCAGGACATCATGGAAAGCCGTGGACAGTCAGTCATGGCGCCTGGGGCACTGGTTGTAGAAACAGAAAACTTAAGATAACAAGATAGTCTTGCCTACATCAGCTTTCTAAAGCCCAGCTTTTGTGGTATTATGAAAATCTAATCTTGTGCTTTGTTTCTTAAAAATATCCCTGTCTTCTAAACATCCCATGTTCACACATGTGCATTTTAATGGGCACCCAAGGCTCTGGCTTTTCATAAGAGGACAGACACTCTGGAGGCCCAGGGACTGAGTACCAGCATCCCTTGACCTTTGACTCCCCTTTTGTCAACCCTTCAAAGTTGTTCAGAACCAATTCCCACCTAATTCCTCAAGGAACCTTAAACTCCAAAGAGACAAAGATGTGCAGGACCTGAGGGGGCTTGAGGTGGCAGGGAGAGGGAGATCTCTGCTGCTTGCAGCACCCCACCTGTGTTGCCTGTCAGCCAGTGGCCTCAGACAGGCTGTTCTCTTGACTCACCCTCTCTAGGAACAAGGCCAGGAAGGTCCTCTTTTTCCTGACCTGTGCTGCACTGTCTCATTGTGCATCTCCAGGCTTCTGAAAAGAGTCACCCGGGGCCAGGTGACATGACATGGCTGGACTGGTGGGGCTCCTCTCTCCCACTGAAACCGGCTGCTTTGACACCTGCAAGGAGTTGGAAGGTGGAAGACGCAGAGGCCAGCACTGCTCACCTTTCAATTATGTCCAGGCGAAGCTGGTGTCCGTGAGGCAAGGTAATGAGCTCCAGCCCTGAGCTCACACCCATGTTCCTCTTCATCTCTTCAGAGACTTCAAGTATCCTAGCAACCTGTCAGGAGCAAAGCTGAAATTCACTGGATCAGGAAGTGGGCTGGTCCCAGCGCATATTTAGCATGTGAAAAGAAATACACTAAACTGGGACAGTGGCGATGAACTTTACATTGTTGCATTTCTTCATAAGTAGCAGTGTCCAAAAATATGGTTCTTATGTATTTGCGCATTTTAATACACATACCAGAAATATAAAACTAATAAGTGGGGAGAAAGACTGGGGAAACACCCAAATTGGTCTGTAGAATCTGCAGATTTGGTACATATTCCTTCCCAGCCAGGGAACGGTTTAGTTCTCTGGGCTTTTGTCTGACACAGGCTGGATCCTGCTGCGACGTTCAGTTGCCAACAGCAGGACTGCGTATGTGCAGTCCACCATCCCCTGCAGTGGAGAAGCAGAATCCTGTCCAAGCTCCCCTCTGCTGTGGGCTTTGCGATTCATGTTCTCACTTAACTGCCGTGGCTGTCTGCTATTACCCTTAATTACATCTCTCCCGGGCGCAGTGAATGCACCGTGTGTCTGGAAGCTATTAAAAACATGTAGAGTGATTTGAAACCCCAAGTCTCAAACACACCCACACGTCCTCCTGAGAGGAGAGAGGTTTCCCTTAAACAAAGTCTTTGTCCGCATCAGCTCTCACCCATCTCGAGTCTAGTGTAATCAGTTGATCTGAATTAGGCATCAGTAGACCATCTGCAGTTACTACACACTGCAGTGAAATGTCACAGCTGAGTTGGTGTGTCTCCAACTGGGCTACGAGGCCTCGCAGCACACTGATGGACTGATAGTACAACATGCAGACCCAATGGGGTCTAACCAAGCCTGGACACAGAGAGTGTGTCCCTCTCCTCTGTTTGGTGGACTTATCCTTGACCATAATTACCTAGGAACATGAGCAGTGCAGATGTCTTCATCATAAGCCAGAAAAACATCTGGAAGTTTAGCCAATATTATTAACTCTGACCCTTAACTTCTGTGGTTAAGCAAAGAAACTACTGTGAGCCCTGGGAGATGAGCCTGGAACAGCTCCCAGTGGGGAACCCAGACCAGGATGCAGAATCCACACTGCAGTCTCACCTCCACTCTCTGGGCCTCAGTTTTCCCTTGTCTAATCCAATTGCTAACTAAGTTCACTTTTCTCAAGGACTTTGCAAAGGATTCAAATGACCTTAAAACCAAAAGAGCTGAGCATGATGGTGCATGCCTATGATCCAGTGGCTTGGGAGGCTGAGGCAGTAGGATTGAGAGTTCAAAGCCAGCTTCAGCAATGGCAAGGCACTAAGCAACTCAGTGAGACCCTAAATAAAATACAAAATAGGGCTGGGGATGTGGCTCAGTGGTTAGGCACCTGAGTTCAATCCCTGGCACCAAAAACATCAACAACAAAACAAAACAAAACAGAAAACAAAACCCAAAAGCTATTTGGAAACATAAGTTATGAATCATTTGCCACGTGGAAGTGGGAAGAATTCTGGCCAGATCCTGGTAAAGAGATTTGCACCTTGGCCTTGGCAAGGCAACTCAAATGCAGGCCCTGCACACTTCCTCACGTGTTTAGACAGCAGTCCTATTAGAGGTTCCAAACCCTGTTACCTCTGTGGGGACACTCCCCTCCATGCACACTTTATATAATGAGACCTTAAAAGGCTCCTCCTCACTAATTCAGCTCTGTTCTGGAAGTATTAACAGGCATTCTGCGATCCCTCTTCTGAGAATGAGAAGCCTACAGTCTGTCATCTGGGTTCCAGGGGCCACACCTGCTCACTCTAGGCTAAGCTACAGTACAATAAAATTCTGTTTTGGGGGGGTGAGAGGGCGATTCTGGGGATTGGACACAGAGGTGCCTTACCACTGAGCTTCCCCAGCCCTTCCTATGTTTTTTTTAAATATTTTTTTAGAAGTTGATGGGCCTTTATTTTGTTCATTTATTTATATGTGGCGCTGAGAATCTAACCCAGTACCTCACACATGCTAGGTAAGCACTCTACCACTGAGCCACAACCCCAGCTCCTCTTCCTATTTTTAAAGATAGTGTCTTGCCAGGTGTTGTGGTACATGCCTGTAATCCCAGTGACTCGGGAGGCTGAGACAGGAGGATTCCAAGTTCAATGCCAGTCTCAGCAACTTAGGTAGACCCTGCCTTCAAATAAAAAATAAAAAGAGTTGAGAATGTAGCTCAGTAGTAATGCATCCTTGGATTCAATTTTCAGTGCTTAAAAAAAAAAAAAAATTCTCACCAAGTTGCTTCGTGCCTTGCTAAATTGCTGAGGCTGGCTTTGAACTTGTGATCTTCCTGCCTCAGCCTCCCGAGGAGGTGCCCAAAGCTGTGTGGCTCACAGATGCGGAGGAAGGAGGAGCACTTGCAGAGCGAGGACTGTGGGCTGGACCCAGCAGGGCAGGGTGGCATATGCATCCTAGACAGGTATTCCAGCCGCCCTCTGTCCTCCAAGTCTGGGCTCTCCCAGCTCTGTTAAATCTCTGGACTCTGCCTTTTCTTCCTCGTGCCACTGCCTTGGAGGCTGCTGCATGACCCAGGGCAGCCTTTATGGATGCCTGGCTTGGCCCTCTTCCCAGGTGCAATGAAATTGCCAGGCTTTGCTTGCTGGCTCTGCTGCCTCCAAGCAGCACAGAGGGCTCAGATCCATACCTATGCACTCATGAGTCTGTCTCCCTCACTCAGTGATAAAGTGCTTTAAAGGCAGAATCCAGAAGTAGAGACTTAGAAACACTGACCCCAGGGTCCTCCCTGTCCTAACCCATCCCTACCTTCTTTGACTCACAAATGAATCTTCTGTAAACCAACCTCTCTCTCCGTGGATTTTTTTTTTAATTTTAATATCTATTTATTTATTTATTTTATTTATTATAAGGTGGACACAATACCTTTATTTTATTTTTATGTGGTCCTGAGGATTGAACCCAGTGCCTTACGCATGCTAGGTGCACACTCTACCGCTGAGCTACAACCCCAGCCCCTCCCCATACCTTTTGACATCTGAGCTTCTGCACATGTGCCTTCCCACCAAGCACAAGATGCTTTCTACATTTGTCTGGCCAATTATTCAGACTTCTGAACTCAGAGCACCCTGACTTTCCCCGCTCTTGTTTAAGGAGGACCACAGCTTCTGTGCCTTCCTTCCCCTGCAGAGCATCTCCCACCTGGGTTGTGGTCCAAGTTCCCTATCACTGTCCTTCCCCACCCTTCCTCCATCAGACAGCAGTGCGGTCCCTCTAGGGCAGAGACCATGAGCCAGCCTGGCACACCATAGGCAGTCAATTAAGGCTGAATACAGAACACCAAGAAATACTCAATGCTCATAGTGGGCCAGGCAAGGTGTCCATGGCTTTACCTGTATTATTTCCATTAGTCTTCGCTGATTATCTGGGTCCCTGTGTTCCATCTGATAGTTGGGGAGAGAAAGAGCCCTGTAGCCACTGTGGCCAAGGGGAATTCAGACTCAGGCAGCTCACCCCTGAGGTCAAGCTCTTAACTACTGCTCAAAGATGAGCAGGTGGGGCACAGGATAAGGGGAGGCTTGCTGTTCCTGGTGGTAGTGGCTCAAGGCCCCTAGCCAGGCCCTTGGGGGTAGAAGCTGGACACTGCTGGGCAGGCAGGCTCCAGGGCTCTCAGGACCTCTGCTATCCTGATGGCCTTCTGATCATCTATCCCTGGGCTGTGTGCTTGGGTGGGAACTGGAACATGGGGCCCAGATGCTGCCTGGCGCCTGATTCTGACTCCTGGGTGGCCTCATCTGGCTGCTGCTACATTTGGTGTGGAGAAGAATTTTCCTCTTAAGAGATGCTGGTTGTGCCTGCTGGTTCCAGGAAGAGAAGAAGGAAACATTGGTGGACGGCAGGAAGGACTAGATGCAGCCCTGCCCTTGGGGCTGGGGGAGGCAGAGCCCAGGCTGGCTCCTCCACTGCCAGGGGTGCCCGAGAGCAGACAAGAAAGCGAGGCCCCAACAGGAGGGCATGAGGCCCCACAGAGCAAGAGCGAGGGTGGACTGCATGTTCTTCAACTGAGAACACTTGCGCTCTTATTTCATAGCTGTCAAAGGCAGTGGGGAGGTTCCAGTACTGCAAAAAGTGGGCAGGTACCTCTCCCCTTCCTCGATCACCATCAAGCCCTACCTGAGGCCACAGAAGGATTTATTCCACTTGGAACTGTTCAGTTTGCCCAGACCCATGTTTTCACAAGAGCTTCCTCTATGGAGAACCCAGGCAGGCTCAAGCCAGCCTAGAATCTCACTCCTGGCCTATTAGCACGTTCTGCTCTCATATCCAGGGCTCAGTGTGACTGGCTGACTTGAACAGGAGTCCTCCAATTCTTTTACCTCCGAACAGGTTTAGCTTGCTTTAAAGTGAGGTAAGAATTGAACACGGCAGATTATCTGATCACCTGTGAGCACTGTCCAAAGACCCCTAGCCAATCCAGCCCATCAAGACAACAAGCCCTTGTTTTTCCAGAGCAGAGTTTCCCTGCTTTCTTCTCAGGGCCCCTTAATAGAGGTGCTGCCTCACCCAGAAAGTTTCACCTCCCAGGCCTGGACAGTGAGGTATGCCACTTACCAAGTCACCCCTCAGACTCTGTTTTCAGGAAAGGATTTTTTTTTTATTCCCAGGACCATCAGCAACTATCTAATAATGTTCCTTAAGGCTGTTGTGGGGAGCCCTTCATCAACGACCCAACATGCTGGGGAGTGGGGGGGGGGGGGGGGGGCAAAGACTGGATTTCCAGCCAGGATTCCTGACTCAGGAAGAAAAATCCAATTCTTAAATAAGCCTTGACCTTTGAAGCTAATTGAGTTCCCTAAACTATGAATGAAAAGGGGCTTTAAATTTCACTGAGGCCTTGTCTGCTGCTCAGATGTGCAGGGATCAGCCACTTTATCCTGAGGAGGTGGCTGAGCCCTGCTCAGCCCGAGACACCTGTTGTCCAGAAATATCTCAGTGAATGATGAGGTTGCCTTGGGACCTCCTCTGAACAAAGGCCACCCACACCTGAAAGAACCACGTCTGATCAAAAATGATGATGAAAGACAGTCATCAGAGACTTTCAGCAACAGATTCCAGGTTTGGAAAAGGATGTACAGGCCAGGGTCATCTGTGTGGTAAACAAAGGATATTTACAGAGCATATGGTAATGTGGCATTTTTTTTCATGCACCAAGTGTTGCCAATGGTGATCACCAGGAAACTAGAATTTGTGTGATTTTAATTTTATCTTAATCCATATAATTTGTTTAAAAAAATCAAGCAATTATTGTAAAAAAAATCCAGGTGGCTTTAAAAATGCTTATCCTAAAGACTATTTTAGTAACAGAATATATAATGTATGTAAGTATAATGTATAATGAAATAAAAATAGCCGAGACTCTGCTACTCCAAAAACTAGTTTTTCATCTGTGGTTGACTCTCCTTTGGCTTGGCTCTTGCCAGTTCTGATGGGGTTGAGTCCAGGGGAGAATTTTTAACTAAGCACCAGGTGGGAGGAGGAGATTGTGCTGAAGCAACTGTCACCAGTAGGGGTGGGTGCAGGGAGCGGACCCTGCCTTCCCTCTGTCCAAGGTGAAGTTTACAAGCTTTCTGGACAAAGGTTGTCTTGACCGTGGTTCCCACCCTGTAAATAAATCCCCACCCCTGTGTTATCTTCAGACTTCAGACATAAGCAAAGCACTTAACTGGCAAGGAGGAGAGAAGCAAGACAGACATTCTCACGAACCTTCAAAAGGCCAGAAGGAACCTAGTGCCCGAGCACTCACCTTGCAGTCCATGCTCAACAAGTGCTGGGCGATGACCTTGGGGTCGTTGTTAGTGAACAGTTCTTTTGCACGTTTCAACATTGCTGTTTCCAGGGGCTTGTTCTCTGGAGGAAGGAGCTTTGACACAAAGTCATTGGGCCTGAAGGAAGAGACAGTCTCCAGGAGAGGTATTACAAACTTGTCCTTGTCCTCCTGTCCATCACCCATCTGTGCTGCTGGCAGTTCCCAAGGTCTGGCCCCATCGTCCCCATCAAGGATCAAGTAGTTGGTTCCAGAGTTCCGGGGACCAGACACCCCATTCTGCTTGGCTGTTAGCAGTTCTACATGGCTGCCTTGGGCACGTAAGGGCAGCTTTGCTCCTCTGTCACAGCCTGCAGCAGAGGCTGGGTTCAGTTCACAGTAGTTGGCCTCCGAGTTGAGCCAGGCAGCTGGGGATGGGGGAGCTCTGAGGAAGGGCACCTTGCAGGGCTTGGGGGGCGGCTTGGGGCACAGCTGGCTGTCAGACCCCCGCAGTGCCTCCCCTGTTCTAGCATCTGAGGAGACCCTCCGAACCAATGCTGGGCTCAGGGTGGGTTCGCTGCCTGTCCTGAACACAGGTGAGTTCGGACAGGGGCTTTTGTCCATGCCTGGGGACTGGGGAGGCAGCTTACAGCCTGTGGAGGATAAAAGAAGGTCAAAGAACACTCGCTGTGTGGAGATCAGAGAATAAACAAAACTGGAGGGACATGGCAGCTCCCAGCCCTCACTTCATAACCCTGGGTTTCAATTTTCCCTCCCCAAAGTAAACGGTGTGGCTGCCCAAGCCCACTCCAGAGCAGTCTAGAACTCTGTGAGTGCTAGGCTGGCCCCACCCCACACTCCTGGGGCAATTCTAAATCCTAGGGACAGCCTGTGGACAGCTGGGCTGCTAGGTCATTTCTGGCCATAGACAGAGCAGGAAAACATGTTGAGCTTGGAGGACAGGGAACAGTGCTGTCTTGCCCTCAGAAAAGAAGTCTCCAGCCACATAGCATAAAGCATCCTGAGTCACTCTCAAAGCCAGGGCAGATCCCAGACAGCGTGAAAAGGAAAGCTAGAAACACCGTAAAGGGAGACAAAGACATTGACACAACCCACACAGAGTAGTTCACGAAAGGGCATTAGGAAAAATCACTTCATGGTCCCAAGGAAGGCCACTTATGTAAAGAAAACAACAAACAAACACCAAACAACCCCACAGCCTATTAATGTATTTGGTTACTAGGTTTCCCCATACTTTATCATTTCTCGGGTTCTGAAAGGAGAATGGAGAAGGGAGGTCCCTCTGGACAGCTGCTCCACCTGAAGCCCCAGGATCAACCCACCCACCTCTGCCCAGGGAGGGGACTGAGGGAGTAGGCTCATTCATCAGGAAGGCAGCCAGTCATGCCATGGGCTTGGAATCAGAAAACTTGGGTTCAAATGCTAGGTGACGCGGGACTGGTTACTTAACGTCTCTATGCCTTAGTTTCCTTAACTACAAAATGGGGATAATCGCACTCACCTTGAAGGCTTATTACAAGGCTTAAAGGTTCATAAGCAGCAGGCTCAGCGCTTTGCAACCAGATACAGTTCTGCAAAGCCTTTCCCCTCCAATCGGGAGCCTTGGGTCCTTTTTTAATCTAGGTGACTAGATAGAGCAAGACAACAGGGCGCCCCTTTTCTGGAAAATTCCCAAAGACGTACCGATTGGAAGGTGACTTTCCGACTGGTGGGCTTTGAGGGCTAAGGCCCTCCTGTCCTGCATGTCATCCAAGCAGGCTGGCTGGCTGCCGCTCTTCTCTTTATTCCTGAAGTCAAAGACAAGCGGGGCAGAAACATGTCATTAAGCTGTAAAACCTTTAGGCAACGTCATGGAAAGTTAAAAAAAAAAAAGGGGGGGGGGGGGAGAAAATTGCTCAGAATGAGATTGCTATGCATACCCTGACAGTAAAGGAATGTCCACGAAGGAGGAATTACTGATGGGGCGATTACTCTACAACCCTGCCGTGTGCTCCATCCCACGCCCCCAGGACCAAGGCAGCTAAGTCCTAGGGTGCCTCCTCTCAGCCCTTCCATCCTGTTGAACCGAGCAGGGTAAAATTTTCATGGTACTCCCGGGAAAATCTGATGAACTGGAATGTGTACTTTTAACAGAGCCTAAAATTACTTTCAGACCCCAGGGGAACGACTTGTTTAACCAGCATGCATTTTCCACAATGCTTCACCGTGTCAGCTGGAAGGAAGCTGTGGGGCACTTTCCATTTCAGAGCAAATCTCAGCATCCCCCAAGTCATCTGCAGGATTGCAGGGGAGGCTGTCACACCCATCCTCCTGGCTGCCTGGGGGGACCCCCAGAACACCTCATCCCGCTGAGCTGGAAAGGCAACTAGCCTGGTCGGCAGGCAGCAGCCAGAGGCGCAGCACACCCCCACACTGGCAAGAGGTGGAAGGTCTGTCCTTCCAGATCAGAGAGGGAATGTCCCTCATCGGCACCCAGCAGTGGAAACTCCTGCTACAGGAAAAAGCACCCCACCAGCCAACTTAGACAAACTTTAACTGGCCTGGCCATAAGCATAAGACATTCTTATGTTATGGAAATCATCAAGTTCTTTCCTACCTTTGATAGCACCAAAGAAACAAATTAAAAAAAAAAAAAAAAGCACCCAGCAACAGAGGAAGTCCAGGAACCACCCCCTCAGAAATAAGGCAAGGCGGAGGGTAAATTCCAATGGAAATGGCTTTGGAGAAACGACATGTAATCAGTGGCCACCCCTTGGTCAAACGCCAGGGCCAGAACAGCCTGCGGAAAGCAGGGCCACGGTAACCTGGTTGAGAGCACACCTTTGCCTGGGGCCGGCCGGCTGCCAGCCAACCAGCATGCCTGACGTCAGGGAGCGTGTCAGCAGGCCAGGGCTGACGTGGGGGAGCAGGGCAGGGCGATGGCCAGAGGGGCCATATCGGTGTTTGGCCCACCCTGCCCCCGCCTCCAGGCCTTTCCGGCCTCTGCCTGAGCGCCTGAGCGCAGTGGTGCAGGCTGTACATTCCAAAGGGCAATCAGAGTGGCTCTGGAGGCCTGCCTCGGCAACCTGGAGACTTTCTCAATCTTTCATTTCTTATCTTTCAAAGTTTTTTTTTTTTTTAACCAGGATCACTGGGGGCAGACCAGGAGACTCCTTGAGCATACTTCCAGCTGAGTGTTGCCAAAAATTGGCTCCATCCACACTAACTCCTGGCTCCAAAGTCTGAGCAGCCAGCCCCCATTCCTAAAGGGATCAGAAGAAAAAGCACCCATTAATGTTTCCAGGGATCTTGAGTTCAGTCTTTCCCTGAAACGGAGGATTTCCATTTTTGTCTCCTTGTCTGCAACTACCCTGAGTTAGTTGGACTTTCTATTGCCTCCTAGATACTGATAGTTACTAGGATTCTTAGTACTTACCTAGTACTATGCGCCTATACTTTTCTAAGCACTTTGCTTAGCTTAAGCTTCATCTTTCTGGATAAACAAAGGGAAGCCCAGAGAGGTGAAAGCATTTGCCTGGGGTTGCACAGCTGGTCAGCATGGAGCCAAGCATAGGAGCCATGGAGTCGTAGCCAGATGCTGACTAACATGTACCGGAGCCTCCAGGCAGCACACAGCTGTAATTTGTGTTACTCAGAGTTCTAAATTTTTGCAATATAGAAATTACAGTTCATGACATGTCCTCTTGGTCCAGACAGAAAACCAGTGAGTGGAATTAAACATGTTGGTTATGCACGTCAGCTGAGAAGCCAGGAGCTGGGTCAGGCTGCATGACAGGAGGGAGGGGCCGGGTGGTCTAGGTCCCAGCCTCTTCTCTCTTTCTCTCCTACACTGTTAGGTAAAATGCACATGGACTCCTGACTCCACAAGACAGGTCCTGTACAAATCAGCTTGG